AATAAAATTTCTTACTTATTTGCAATAAATAGAAACCTACTGCAATAGTTGGGTTCATGAGTCAATTGAAGCTAGACCACTATGGATAAACCTGGAAGCACTGAACGGCCGTTTCATCCTAGTATGAGACTCCTTAGCAATGCGCATCCACAATCCCGCTAGCGTGATTCGAACTCAGACACATAGGTCTCGCCTACGATCGCTTAACCCCTAGAACACTAAGTCGGAATCCAATGGTGTTAATGTCTAAATTCAAAAAATACACAAAGTTACGTCACCATCCATCATCGTCTTCAGTGAGTCGCTATCTCACGACAGATTCGGTTGAACTCCATTGGTCACTGCCTCTCACTAGGACTCCAGGAAATACCTCTTGAAGTCAGTCACCAATAAGCATACGATGAATATTATAAGAAGGGTTTTTATGGAGATTATAGTAATTTAATAGTGAAGATTATGAGTCAATCGAAACTAGATTGATAGGTCATCGGTTTGAATCCTACGGGCTGGGATCGTGGATGCGCACTGTTGAGGAGTCCCACAGTAGGAAGAATCGGCTGTCTATATATATATATATATATATATATATATATATATATATATATATATATATACATTAGATCAGTAAACTATCTTAATGTAATTCTAAGTACAAGTGTACAAGTGTTTCATTAAAACAATGGCTTTAATCGAAATAAAAGTGATAGATTATGTCATGTGTTTTCAAGAAAAAAACAAATCCAAATGACTTTTTTAAAATAAATGTAAATGATATTTACAATTTACAATGATGTATAAAACATTATTTATCTAAGTGTTAAAAAGTCATTTATTTAACTGTGTAATAACAAGTTGAATTTGTTATGTATTTGCGCAATTTCTGTTGTACATTTTCATCATAAATATACATGTCAAAACACTTTTTTAGGGCTATAAAGTTGAATTAAATATACAAATAAATATAACAATAATCATAGGATATCCATACAGTTGAGAATACTGGAAGATATTTTAACACATACTATGACAAAAAAGAACATAACAATTACTAAGGTAAGTTTAAATCAAGAACAAATTATGGACAAATACAAAAGATGATTGTAGTCAAGTATTCTGTTAAGATTCATTTACTCTTCACTCTATATGATTCAATTATGAAACTTTTATTGTCTTTCTAGACAACATCTAAACAACATTCTAGGGTAATTCATTACAATGTCATTTTAATCTAAATAAAATGATTTAATCATAACGTAATTTATTGAGTTGTAGAACTATAGTTTTCAATGGAAATAAAATGATTTAAATTTTATTTATGATGAATTAATGTTTCTTTTATATTTTAGTAAATCTATCAAGATGAAAATCCATCATAGCATAGAACATCAAATTTTACAGACCAAAGATGATAAAATCATAATAATAATAATAGAATGGTTTGTCCAGTTTAGTGAAGTAATCATTTGAATTTCATTGCAAGTATTATATTACAACTGTAAATACTGGTTATTCAGAATTTTAAGAATTTTTAATCAAGTTTTTTTAAAAGTAAGTATGCTGAAATAGATAAAATAATGTGAAGTTTCTATGGTTCATTATATTAAACAGTGATTGATATGAAACTTATTGACAATATACTAAAGTGTATAAAATGATCAATAAAGTTTTGTTTAAAAAATTGTCTAATGTGATGCTATCAGAATCAAAAATATCAATACTTCATATTATTCCAACTAGGGTACTTAACTGTTTCCCTCTTATTCATTGATATGAAAACAAAGTAATCTACATGTAATGAGTTGGTAAACTTATATAAATTTGATTTGACACATTCTCTTAAAGTTATTTTATTAAATAAATTTGAACTTTGTTATAGATATCTGAGTTTATTTAAATGAAGCCATTCAAATACTTACATTGTTACAGTGACATAAGATTATTATGAAAGAAAAGAGAAACTATTCCTATTGTCACTTTGCTTCAATGTTGAATAGATCCTGACATGCAAGTTAAGTATAAAATGCAAATGAAAACATTCAGTTTTGCATCAGCCTCTGCAGCAGTAGGTCTCCACAAATACAAGAAAAAAGTCAAGTTTCTGAAATACAACATAGAGAACAACACAATCACAATTGATGGAGAAGCTCTGTAAGATGGAGAAAGGATCATCAATGAACAAAAAGGATCTAATACAGATGTAAAAGCAAGGATTGGCAAAGCAAAGACAACATTCCTAAAGTTGAAGAACATGAAACTCAAAATAACTGTCAACCAATATTAAAATGAGGATCTTCTATACGAACGTCAAGACAGTTCTAAAGTACGGAGCTCAAACGTAGAGAACTACTTCAGTCATCATCAAACATGTAAAAATATTTCTAAAGAATTTTATACTCAAAAAACTCAATATTTTTTGGTCGGATGCCATCAGCAACACTTTATTATGAGAAAGAACAAACCAGCTTCTGATTGAAGAGGACATCAAGAAAAGACATTGAAGGTGGATAGGATATCGTCATTAAACGGCATCATGAGGTAAGCGCTAACCTGGAATCTTAAAGGGGAAAGAAAACGCAGAAGATCGAAGGACACATTGCGTCGAGAGTTGTAAGCAGATATAAAAATAATGAATAGCGAGTGAAAAGAACTGGAAATTATTGTCCAGGACAGAGTTGGATGGCGAATGCTGCTGGGCGGCCTGTGCTCCTCTACGAGGGGTAACAGGCATAAGTAAGTATATACATTCTAGAGTATTGTGTGTTTTAGCAAATCGATTTTTATTTCTAGAAGATGAGATCATTAATAGATTTTATTTTAAAAAAATAGGTTGCTTTGCAAAGTTTATATATTTGCTTAACAATGTAAATATACTTTGATAATTTCTATCTACTGGTTATCCATTGATTGCCTTAATTAAGGAACATAAAAAGCAAAGTATTTCAATATCGAGTCACTTAGATTATTGATTGTAATAAATCAATACTAAGAAGACTATATTAGGTGACGTTGATTACTGTTGAGTTAGTAGTCAACAGGAAACCCTGGACCTAGGTTTCGTCCTACTTCGAGTTCGTCAGCAAGGTGTACTTGTAATCTTGAGGTGACTGATGCTCCCTGACGGATTTGATCCCGTGTCACCCAGCTTCACAGTCAGAAACGTTACCACTGAGCTATTCGGGCCGCTAATGACTTCCTGCATGACTGAGATGTATTCACAATTGATTGATCACTGGGTGATGATCACTGTCATGTATGTCAGGTACTTCTTGTTGTTCATCAAATAATGAACAAATTATTACCTTATTATCAACAACAAAATAAGCATTTGTAATTTTTCAAAAAACTAATCAAATAAATTAACTCATCAAGTTATAACTTATTTAGAACTAGTTAAACTTTCGAAGTTGTGAAAACATGTGACAATTCTATTATTCACGATTACTCTAATGGCAATCCTGTCACTTATAGTATTAAGAAAGTTAGATATTAGTTAGCTCATGAATTAAATAAATACGTTTTATCCTATTCAAAACTTATCTATTGGATATTTCAATATCACAACAACCCTGTAATGGTTGGATATATAGCTGGCAAGTTTCAATTAGAACGAAACCTACATCCTGGAATCCTCTTCTAATCAACATCAAACTTCACTAAAACTTATTACTATATAACAGCATCCAGGCAATACACTTAGAATACACATAAATCAAAAGAAACTAATCAATTACAGTACTTAACATCAACAAAGCTAAGATATAAATCTTTTTAAATAGTTATTATAATATCCATTATATAGAAAAAATATTATTAAATTTCCTATGAACTATAATTTGGACATACATAACTCTAATACATTTAATACATTTTCTTTTAATAACTGGCAGAGTGTACTTCTTATTCAAGTGTTCATTAATAGCATCAAAGGGAATGATGAATAGTTTTTATTTGATAATTGAAATAATTCTACTAATATTAGAATTCACCCCCCCAAAAAAAAAACATAACAACACTTTTAACTTTGTTATTGATGTATAAAAATTTCACTATGTTTGTGCATAAATTATTTACCGTAATTGGAATGTTTATTTTTTGAAACTAAATTTAAATATGCTAAATAACTTTTGGTTATGTAATATTATTGATTGAGCTATACTATTGAACACTGAAGAGGTTAGTATTATTTACTTAATAGTTAGATAAACACAAAATGTTTATGGTAGATTATAATCTCAGTTCAAAATTTAATTCGACGACATTAAAGATGTGTACAGTAAAGTGATACTTAATAATAGAACTACATGTAAATACTGTTGGAAATAATTGTAGATTCAGAGTGTTGTAGACATACTTTTTGAATCTATGAATATTTGATTATTATTGAAATCGGTAAGCTAAACCATCATGGAAAACCTGGAAACACTGCACGGCCGTTTTATCCTAGTATGGGACTCCTCAGCAAAGCGCATCCACAATCCCGCTCGTGGGATTCCAACCCATAACATAAATTTGTTAATGAGTAAAATAGTGATAAATATATTTGAATAATATGTTTAAAATACTATGCCGTATAATTACCTAGACATTAATGTAGCCTAACATCAATACGTCACATCATGAAGTGTATAATTTGAAAGAGATTTTCATTTTTGTTCCCATCGACCGGATAAATACTAAAGTGGTGAAGACAATTGCTTCGTTTTTTCGTAATTAAGAACTTTCTTGTAATGAACACTTATCAACTTACATTCAATCGAATCAACAATTTATATATTATAAACTGATTTAACATGATCCTTATTCATTAACTCCAAGATATATGATACGTGATGAAATGTGAAATTCTTGAATACTATAGGATAGCAGATATTCACTGTTGTGGATATTTTAAGGTAATTTAAAATAGTCGTCTAGTGTTACTTTTTACAAAAATTACATTTATAAAGTATATTTAATATTTTTCATGGTAAAATCAAAGCATTTAAATAAATAAAACTTACCTAAATAAATATGATTGTTTTCGTATATGTTCATTAAGAGGTAAACCGATTAAGTGTGAATTGTCTAATGTTAAACTCATCCAACTAGAATCATCAAGAATGAGTCCATCTATGTTAAATTTATGTAAAAAAATTTCTTTTAGAAATTGAATTAAGTAATCTAATCGTACTTTTATTGAGGAATGTATATTAGTAAATTCACTTGGAAATATTACTGTAGTTAAATCGGTGAGGTATGAAGTGTATAACACTTTACACTACTAACTATTTGTCACGATTATAAAATTGTCTTAGTCTTACGATTATGTCATCATTAATTGTTACTGATTTTTTTCGTTATTAAACGCAAGTATATATTATGCACTTAATAAATCACCCTTACTCGTTTTATCTTATTTCTTTTCTACTTCATTTTTGTACAGACACGGTGCATTACATGCTACCTCTATAACACTACGGGCCTATAGACTAAACAAAGGCTTACCAAAGACTGAGAGTTACAAAAGAATGATTCTTTGAGATGGTGGCAAAAATTTGTAGCCCAGATGTATGATTTTAGTGGAGCTTCTGTCTCTGAGACGGATAGTATAGCTGTGGAGCTTTCATTGTTATTCCGAATAATATCATGAATACAAACTTCAGATAGAAGTGAGGTATTCGAATTTCTCAACATATGATTAACAGATTGTCATATGTTGAGAAATTCGAATACCTCACTTCTATCTGAAGTTTGTATTCATGATGTTATTCGGACTAACAATGAAAGCTCCACAACTATACTACCCATCTCAGAGAACGAAACTTCACTAAAAAAAAGAAAGACTCCTTTTAATCATGTATAAATAAAACACCAGAGCTAAACCCATAAAAAACAATCCAGGAAAAACGTATTCGTGTTAATTACTTAAGGAAACTTTGATACTTTAAGAAATTGGATGAATTTCAATCAGCCATCAAAACATTCTGTAGCCTGATGTTTTATGGTAGGATCCAAAATTAGTGACGCTCGAGTTTTTTAAAAAGCTAACGATACATAAACAAGTCGGATCCAAACGAAAGTAAGGTTTACAATTTTCGCAGTACGGGGTTGTGGAGATTGGTAAGTTTTTGATTGAGATCATGAATCGATTGATGTTAGATCACCACTGAAAATCTTGAGGCATTGGACAGCCGTTTTCGTCTCAGTATGCGACTCCTCGACAGCATGCATCCACGATCCCGCTCACCGGGTCGAGCGTTGAACTCACGACCTTTGGACTCGCGCGTGAACGCCTAACCTCCAAACTACTGAGCTGGCATTCAAAGGTCATGAGTTCGAATTATGCGAAAGGGGCGGTGGATGTGCACTGCTAAGGAGTCCCATATTACGATGAAACAGCCGTCCAGTGCTTTCAGGTTTTCCGTGATGGTCTAGCTTTAATCGACTCATGTATTCAACTATTAAACTACTAATATCTCCACTAAACCCCTTTTCTGATAATTACAAAATTTTTCAATTAATATTATAGATAGAATAAAACAGGCGACTTAAAGGGATTTATGTTTTTTTTAATGTGTCGGTGCTTCTCTCAGTGAAGGGAATCTCCAAATTATGCATAGTTGTACAAACTATCTACATCATTAGGTGATTCTGTCTTTAGTGGTGAGTGAAAAGGGGTTAGAAGGGAAACCTTAACATGTGAGATCAACTATATTTATACTAAATGGGGTAAAATGTGAGCTGTCGGGTCTTAACTCAGTGATATTAGGTAAGCACGAATATATCCATCATTTCTAAGAGTAAGAACAGCTACCAACAATGGCTTCACTAGACGTTTTAATAATAAACGAGTGTTAGTTAGTTTAAAATCCTCTGTTTTCTCACTGTTTTTTCTAATTTTCAGTCTGTTTAACAACAGAAATTCCGCACACCAAGTGTTATTCATACATATTTCGTTTAAAAGCATTATCATTCTAATGGTTTTACGCCCCAATTCATTATACTAATTTGACTCTACATAGAATGACATTCAAAACGTATATATTCATAGCTATAGCCTATCTCAATCGGTTTCACCTCAGCTGGATATCTTTCAAATAACCGAACGTTAATAAGAGGGTAAGGAGTTGTAATAACTTATTCATCAGAAATCAAAGCTAGGATCAACACTTACTACATTGTACCATTATTATATGCATCTCATCAAGTTAACTAATCCAATCATACTCTTTAACTTTATTCTTGTTATGAGTATATCATTTCATCTAGACAAACAACATGTTTATCTTTGACATATTCATAAATAAAATAAAAGATAACAGTAAAAAATAAACAAACACTTTCCCTGACTTACATGCATCTCTTAATTCCATATATTGAATTCTTTTAGATGGAGTAACATTATCTGGATTAATAGATTTTTTGAATCGTAAACCTGATATAAGAAAAAAACAAGCAAACAAAATCATATAAAATAATATAGTCCATTGAATTGAATGCTATTACAAAGGAAAATAACTTAACATGATACTAGCACAATGTCTATTTAACATTTTATATATGTAAATAATAAGTTATGTATAAATTATTAATGTTTGTTTCATAGATTTATTAATTTATTTAACAAGTCCTTAAAACATGCCTTAAATTATCATTAATATTATTATTACTATTAATGGTTTTCAATCTAAGTTTCCTTTAGTAAATCCTACTACTGACCATGAATAATTAATCAATTGAATAAATGTTAATTTAGAGAAAATGTAAATTAGAATACTTAAGAATAAAGGTATAGTACTGTGTACTATAATAGGAGTTAATGTAGATCTCATAATAATAATAATAATAATAATAATGGAAGAATAGTAATGAATAAAAACAGATAATTTACTCACTGATTATCAAGATTAGAAAGTATCTAACTAAATAAATAGTCATTATAATGTAAATTATTCATTACAAGTTAGCATTTTAACTATATTACAAACAACTGAATCACGTTTGATTACCACTGATCAAGTACTAAAACTTAATCAATAAAGTGATGAATCATAGTTATCGAAACATTTTTAAAAAAAAATATCATTGTCAATCTTAAACTCTAATATGTTTATCAATTGGGATCAATTAATAAACATTTAATTTCTAATCCTGTCTAGATACCCTAGTATTTTTAAACCAAACCCAATATATAACATTTAAAGAAAATACTTTCTATTGATAAAACGAATCACTCTATTTATCAACGTTTATTTTTGTAAATTTATAAAGCTTGTTTGAATGGTACGAAAAAGTGACTGGGAATAAATCGTAATTAATTCTTTTTAGTTTCCGATTGATTTTATAATAAATTCATTAAATGATTATTCTTTTCTTAGTATAAATTACAAATGCTCCTCGTTATTATTGTCTATCAATGTTGTTGGGCTACTAGATGAAATATGTTTGTTTTGAAACTGTTTTTAATTTTTAACTTATCAAAATACAGTTCGATTTTGTTGTTATGATGTATGTAATTTTAAATAGATTTTACATGTAGAGTAATGCTGGAAAAAAGAATGCATATAAGTACTTTGGATTATGTAATCATTCCCTGCAACAATATATGAAAAGAAGGTCAATATATTTCGAATGGTTATCAAAACAAACAGGAAGTGTCTTTTATAGAGATTATGAATCGATCAATGTTAGACCACTGTTTAATACGTAGAAGCACTGGACTGTCGTTTCTCCCTAGTATGATACTTCTCAGTAGTGTGCATCCACGATTCGGCAAGCGAGAATTGGACCATAGAACTTTGGTTTTGAGCATGAATCCCTAACGTCTAGATCACTGATCTGGTATCCAACACTGTTTTTGTTTAACTCCAAGAAATCCACAAATATAACAATCAAAAGAGTGATAAGTTGTAGACAAAAAAGATTGGATTCATTTTTAGAAATGTGATTGATCTTAATTCATCATATTTCTAAATTCTAATCACGGATTTTCTAAAATAATTAAGGCATATGAAAGAAATGTATTAAGATCTAAAAACCTTATAAATTATTGATATAGTTACTAGTGTTCAATGTTAATTTTACTCTTAGATAATTCTGTTTCATCCATTCATTTCAGAAGATAGTAAACACATAATGTACATAAATAACATATGACACATTGAACTCAATATATCGATACATCATTTTGTTACATAAAATGAATAATTTTGATGATTAGTCTCTATTTCTCTAAATAAGTTTTTTATTGGATTGCGTTATTATCTGGCTACAATAATCGTATTCAGTCAAGTGGCTGATCACAGTCTATACAATTTACGCGATGTTTCCTAACAACCTGTATCAAACTTCGGCATTATTCATTAAATTATTATATCAAGATCTTATATATACCAGAGTATGATTGTTTCTCAAACTGGGTAATAAAAGAGAATTGACTACTGTATAGTGGCAGAAAATGCGGATGGCGTCTTGAATGCCGTCACTTGGCAAACAACAAAAGAGAGGTTAATAACCGTGCTGATATTTTGTAGTCAGCTAGCTATTCGTTGAAGAAACGAATTCATCAAATAATAGGTGGTTAAAATATTCAGTTATTCTAAAATGCTTGAAATATGGGATTGTTTCACACCTGGAACTCATTAAGTGCTTGACGACTGTCCAGAAATTTTTTGTTATTTAGAACTTTCATTTAAAAGGACTTGTTGAATGATTTCATGTCGTTTAAATGCACCTGAACAGTAACCAATAAACATGTTAAACAGAATAACCTCAATAACAAAGTTGAAAGAGTAAAACACCCTATTTTAATTATAAGGTGAATAACTTAAGATATTATACTAGATATACTTATTTAATATGGTTATCACTACTTATTTTTTCCAACTAATATAGCCAACAAAAGAAATGAATAATCCAGATGATTTGAAATGGTAAACTTTCAGTATCCAATATATGATACATCCTACCTAAATATTCTTTATAGAAAGATGTGTTTACTCAGTGTTACATACAATCGATAATCCCTACAACAAACTTATATTCATAGTATTAAACAGGTATTTTATTAGTATATTTAAAAATTAATCATTTTAATCTCAATTATGATACCGTGTTATAATGGTTTTTGTTCATCATAATATCAAACATATATTAATTGTATCGCATGTATATAATGACAGAAATTCATTGTTAAATAGTTTTTCTTTTTCATCAAATACCTTCAATATTTATTTCATAATTTGCCCATAACAATAAACAAAACAAAACAAACATTATACCTGTCTACTAACAACTTTAACTCTTGTAAAAATGTTAACGACAAATTTCAAAACAAAAAAAAATAATAAACAAAACAAACAAACAGACAAACAAGAAGAAATTAACTATTACTATGCGTGACTATAAAATTAAACAAAATGATATTCATTTTATGGTAAACATGTTTAGTTTTAAATTATTCCAGTACAATGAATGAAAACAATGAAAGAAATTTTTAAAGAAGCAATTAATCGATTATATTTTCTTATTTTCAGTACAAACATCATTTCATTGATTGTGTATAGTTACTTAAAAAGTGTTGAGCTATTTTTTTAAATATATAACTATAGCATAAGTGTTTAAAGCATATTTCCTGTGGGAATTCTATAAGGTTTTTTTATTTTTTTACGCTTTAGTTACTTTTTTTTATTATTTATTAAATCAATCAGTTTTGTACTAAATCTTCACTATACTAAAAATCAAACCAGGAAACGGAAATTACTTTTAGTGTGGTCGGTTATTCTGTTTATTTATGACTTTGAAACAGAATACAGGAAATAGTCTCAGAAAAATTTATCTGACCGATCATAAATTATTGCTGTTATTTAAAGAAAAAATACGTGAATCAAACTAGTTATTTTGGTAATAGGAAGTCAAAAATAAAATGAAACAATTTCTACGGTTTGATTAACTTATATCCAGTCCTCATTTTTGTTATGTCAGATGCATAGATATTATTTATTATATGCTTTTAGTTAATGCTTGGTCTTGAGTATCGATATATCGAAAAGATATATTTCCTGCATTTAGCTGATATATTAGTTAAATTGTTCAAGTTATTTTTTTTTGTTGTTAAATTTTAATTTCATGTTCGCTGTCGTTGTCATGGTGATAAATCTATCTAAAGAAATGTATATTAATAAATGATATTAATATTGAAAAAAAAATTTGCTATAATGAAGAATTTTTATAAAAGAAATTCAGTCTACTATATAATTGAGCTATAAATGATAACTAAATGCATTACATATGATGAGGCTTCGTAACCAACACATGAATTAATTATCATTTAATACCTGGATTATAATACATGTAGTATAGTTTTAAATTAGCTCTCATAAATATTTTTATTGTAGTTTAGTGACATAAATGATGTCAATTTAATATGGTAAATAAACAGATGATATTTCATTTAGAATTATGTGTTACCGTTCAGTAAATAAGTTCATGCTGCTTGTCATTGTAGAGGTATTATATCATGTGTATTGTATTACAGTCTTTCTATCTCAACATCACTTATTTGATAATTTCAGAATAATTAGTGAAGCTTGCCATTTATTTAAAGCATTTTTTATTTATTTGGTCAGTGGAAGTTTGTTGACTTCTCAAATACACTTCAAGATAAACTGACTTCCGTTCGAGAATTACAGAATACCGGATAAGTAAGAATGGCTATTCAAGTCTATTTTGAAACTCCATATTGATGAATCTCTATCATTAAGCAGGATTAGAATCAAAAGCTCGCATTCGTTATTCTGTACATTAAACCACCGAGCTAATGAGTTATAAGTAAATCAACCATATTTTTAGCTACCTTATTAGAGAAATACCATGACAGTCAATAAATGACATTTGTGATCAACTGTCTGAATTCCAATTTGGTTAGTTCTATAGAAAACGTTGTACGCTTAAATTTTTGCTTATTAGAATTGGGATTACATATGGTCAAAAAGTTAAAAAAAAGTATTTTGAATACTTTGTACTGAATAAATGTTCTCAGAAACAGTACAATTATTAGCTGAATACATTAGAAATGTATCTATAAACTGTCAAGAAATTATTACCAAATTAGTTGACAAGTGATTAACAATGATCTTAGCGATAGCATGATTCCAACCAATTTCATGATAATCAAACGATCTTATGAATATACTTGCTATTTGAAAAGTTGTTAATAAATCTATTCTACTTCATTGAATTTTCGATAACTGAAGTCACAACATTGTTATTAGTTTTCAACTAGTATTTATTCTACACTTGTTATTACGTTCATAAATATAACTTTACGAAGGTATATATATATTGGATTATCTATTTGCCTATCGTCAAATAGGACATATCCTTTTGAATTATGTATATGATGTGTTTATTAGTTATTCAAACTAATGTATGTATATATTTCTGTCAAATAGAATGTTTGATTCTTCAGTCTTAAATTAAGGATGATTAAAAATAAGACGAGTTTAAATAAAATGTATCAAAATTGAGACATGAAAGTTTAATGTTCTTATGATAAACATTAGTTTCTTTAGGACTATAGATCTATTAACACATATTAATTAGCATGGAATCACTGCACATTGTTTTTTGCTTATTGTCTTGAGACAGCTAACATAGTAATCATGAGAACAAGTATACAAAACTGTAATTACACTTCAGATAAGACTTTTTGGTTAGATGGTCTTTTAGCACGCTAAAGTGACCTTGAGAGTGTACACCTAATAACTAGGATAAAAAGAGGGTTATAAACCAGTGTGAGGAATTCGAATTATGAAATACAGTTGATGGTTAAGGTTAGAAATTAAATTTAGGATTTTCATCACAAACTGACATCAGCTATAATGCCAAAACTCTATTTAGTCAAATGGATGGGTGAATTTTGCGCCAAAATCCGAGACCTGTTATCCTAAATTATAGTCTCATCGACTATTTTCTACCATTTATTTTATGATATATTCTTTGAGAGAAAAAAATTGAACACATTGTGATGAATTATAAAACATAAATTGCATTCATAATGTAATTATTTAAACTTTATTTAAGAAGGAAAAATGTACTTGTTTTATGGTACTTTTAATATATGACTCTCCGAATAATTCACACTAATTATTAGTAATGATAACTACATATGTAGAAGATTTCTTAAAACAGCAAATTAAATTTTGAAAGCCCATCTTATTTACTTGGCACTTAAGAAATATAGAATTAGTGGTACAAATCTGGTGAAGTGCTAGTCCATTGACTAATTCAAATTGAGAATAATAAAACTGCAAATAACACGAAGAAGGAACTTTGAGTTTATTAAAAAGTAGTATCTAGATTTATTTAACATTCCAGTCTAAAAAATGTCAAAAATTATCTATATATAAGTATAAAATTCTAAAAATCTATTCGTTTATCTAACATTTATACAATCGACGCGATAATATCCAATTTAATTACTTCATTGTCTCAAAATATAAACAATTTATTCTCTGAGTTACGAAACGTCAGATAATCTAATTTTTCTACTAATTGAGATATTACAAATATATTAATTGATTTATAGTTTATTTTAGCATAATTCACATTATTCAGTGATTTAGGTTTTAGTTATGGATATATATTATTAAGATGATTTATACCTAATAAACTGAACTATTTTGTAAGCGTTTTAGAATCATATAAGAAAAATGTAGTTAATTTGCATATTTCAATTTACACTTTTCTTTTTAAATGTTATATATGTATCTGATGAGAATTACTGTATTCAATAATTTGTTTGTATCATTCCAGGTTTATTATGGATTAGTTGAAGTTAGACATTAACACTGTTGAATGCCGTTGAGCTCAGTGGTCTAGAAGTTAAGCGTTCGCGTGTGAAAACGATAGGTCCCGGGTTCGAATCTCGCGAGGCGGGGTTGTGGATGCGCATTGTTACTAGAGAGTCCCATACTAGAACGCAACGGCCGTTCAGTACTTCTAGGTTTTCCATGGTGGTCTAACTTTAATCAACTTATGAATTCAACTATTGAATGTTCACAGTTAGATGTATGGTATGTACTTTGTTGATTGGATAAAACGTTTTTAAAATATTCTATGATTATGTTATGTTATCAAGGTTTGAACATTTGGCAGATAATATATTTAAAATACCACAATGGGTTAAAAAATTAAAAAAACACATCCGAAATTCAATTTTCTCCTCATTAGAATATTACAAATTTCATTATTATTATTATTATTATATTATGTAATTAGTTTAAAACTAATGAAAACAAAATACTTGTTGTATGCTTTTTCACAGCGGTTTATTTGAATAATATCACTCTTTTTATAATAAAATTTAACGCATATGTATACAAATTCAAGTATAAATTAGCTTTGAGTGAATAACTTTCAAATCTAGTTTAGTCAGTAAATTAAATTGAAATTTCTAACCCTTGATTTAGAATAAAATAACTGTGTTTATTTTGATTAAGTGAGACTATCATAAAACAGGGAAAATGATGGATAATGTCTAAAAGTTTTAATCATTAATCATTAGTAAATCTAATTATTTAGAATATTGGATTAAGTAGAGATTGAAAATGATATATAGATTAATAAATTGTTAAATAATATCTAATCAGTCCTAAGAATGATCACAACGAAGATAAATTAGTAGAAGCAGTAATCTATTCTGTGGCTTAGATGTTATCTGGATCTGGTTGTGAACTGGTGACAGCAAATATAAACACAAGTATTCTACTGATTTCTGGAGAAAATGTGATTTTACCAGATAGAGATGAAACACGCTTTCGTTGATACGTTGAACTTCAGTCTTTAAACAATTGAGAAGATTTTCTGGCATGTCAGCGACATTTGGAACATCAATTACGTATGTATCAGCTCATGGAGAAGGAGTTAGGATTGTATTTGTCAACTGTTGAAAGATGACTGGAATTGTTTTAATACCAAAATGCGAGTAAGAAAGCAACATTTGGTCACGGACCATATTAACGTTTAACAATTTATGACACTCCGAGGTTAATTCGGCCTAAAGGTAGTCAAACTGGGGGTTTAGCCATCATAACCAAATATCTTCTGTGATATAGTGATAATATGTAAAGCTATATCTAGTTACAATTGATCTTAGTACTTGTCATTACTTATTGTGAGAAACTCTCTGCATTCATGGTTTCGATTAATTACATCTCTTACAGATTGATGAAGGTCCCAAGACAGGAATTGAGATTTAATCAGTTAATTGAAGTAGCAATAGCTGTATCTGTTAAAAGTGATGAAAATACTGTTGTTTTTAAGGATAGATTCTAATGAACTGCCAAGCTACACAATACAGTCATGTTGATAGCGAGTTCTTCTTTGGACATCACAACGGCCTCGAGTGTGGTTCTTCAGGTATGGTAGCTTCAGATTTTAGGGGTGTCAGATGGTTTGAAGTCTTACATATTTGGTACAACCGTCTTCACTCCGGAACTAAACCAGGGTGGCATTATGTTAAAAATAAAATAACCGTTATCAATTATTGGCTACGTTGTTAAGTTTTTAGTTTCGGGTGTTGATAAAGACAACATTATACGAATATTAGTGAATATTTGTGGCTGCAATCAACAATCAGGAGAAAAGCTTTGAACTGGTCAGACATCAGTGACTTTAAACGAGACCATTTCCTTTGCGATTTAATATACCAACAGGTGTTAGGGAATCGTCAGTTTTGCTAAATGGTAATTTCAACCATTGTTACAGGTTACCAATGAGGAGTTGTTCTTTAACAGCTGGTTTAGTGACTAAATAGTATCAATGAATGGATGATTGTGTGGATTATGTGTCAAAATCACATTACAGGACTTATTAAGCTCAGCTGGATGTAATTCCACAAACAGCCGCGATTACTTCCATGTGCCAACCTTTTCCATAAAACAAAATGTTAATAACCCTCATATCGTCATAACCATGTATCAAATGCAAAATTAGAGTCTGTATCACATTTTAAATCTGCATTGCTGTCAACAGTACCATCAATATGGGATGAAACAGTGATGGTGGATATGTTAGATAACATAGATTTTCATGTTTTTCAACATCTGAATCTATTTGATATGCTGTTTCAGGAATAATTTCACTTTGGCATGAGCGGTATTGCCATTTGGTATGTTTGATTACTAAGCTTATAATCCCAAACGTTGACTTTAATGATAGTGAATGATACTGCTTTTTATCCACAAGGTGGAAACATAATTCAAGTTATATAAAGAAGATTTATTTCACTAACGAGAAGAAAGACTAAACAGCACAATATTCTCGTATCTAAATATGCTTGTAATTTTCTTGAGGATAAAATAACAAGAAAAAAACGGAACTAAAACATAAGTATATCAACAAGGTAAAACTAAATTTCTGAGAGGGGAAAACAACAGTCTAGAAACAGAAACCTTTTTTCTCGAAAAATACTAAATTCAAGTTTATTTAAAGTATATTACATAAATGTGGATTTTAGAAGTTATTTTGTTCATCTATGTTAAACATGTAAAACTATCTATCGTAAAACATTAAACTTTAATAAGTTTTCGAGTTTGGTCATTGTTCAAATTAACATGGATATCAATAGATTTTAAAAAGTTTATTTAGAAAGTAATGGTAATGATCGGAAAAATTAGTATTCGATATTTTCTGTTAGTTTGTGATCTTGTAAATAAGTTTACAAAAAAACACATACACACATAATTGTATACTCACCTGCAATAACAGTGAAGTTTGGTATCACATTGGGCATAAACTGAACATTTGCTGTAAACATAGTGAACAAATACAAGATTTGTGTATAACTAGTATGTTATGAAGGATAGTAAAAAAATCATAAACTAGAATTATTCTAAACAAAATATTGACTATATACGTTAAACTACCATTTCTTCAGATGATGTTTTGAGCTTTGATCTGATCCCCGTGTATTACTGTTTTTACTTCAGTACTACTTTTTGTATGTACTTATGACATTATCAAGTACCGAAAAAGGGATTTCTAGGTTTTGTAGTGAATACGATTAATTTGGATCACAGAGTTGGGTTTCAATGGCTTACATTTTTAATTTAAGTTGATTCGTGATTTGAAATGTTCATCATTCAATATCATCATAAATAACTACCTTGTTCTTTACCCTGTTGATTAGATATTTGAAATCTTTTCACTAAAACTTCAGGAAATCAAATTCGATGACATTCATTAGTGAAAACATTTCTACTAAATGCGTTGTATGTAAATATTTGTCCATTCTTATGAATTTAGCTGTCTATCATTTCGTGAATGTTATACTTTAAATTGGCATATACATTTTGTAAGCTGTAATGGTCGATAAAGAAGGTGGTTTTAGACTAAACGTGTTATCAATGATATTATTACAGTGTAATTAGGCATGAAATGAATCCCACAATCTTTGTAAAGTATTTTGATGCTTCAATTGAAATAAAAATGAAATTATCAGTTTAGTTTTTTCTCTAAAATGTATAGACGTAAATCAGAATCAAACGATCCATGAACACAAATTATTATTATTAGGCTTAATTTAAATGACGCCATCACTTGTCGTCAGAAAGCAAATGGAATACAAAACGTTTTATTTAAATAAAAATTATTTATTATTTCCAATGATAATTTATTTCAATGTTAGTTCCTAAATACTCAAGAAATGTATTTACTTCAAAACAGTTTGAAGTTATGAATATTCTCTAGTTCCTTTTAGGTTTTACACATTAGAAAACCATTTCTTAATGAGAAAAAACAACCGAACTATCATTTGATAAGTTGCACCACTCAACTGATTGCGTAACTTCAAAGTTGTATCTTTCAGAAAAAATAAGTTGGCTCAAGTACAAATATCAAATTCAATTACTTGTTTATTCTCAGTGAAACACATTTTTGTTTTTAATTTTTCATTGATTAAAGCCATTGGTGAAAGATTCACTCTATAATTGCATATTTATGATAGTAGTAATAATAAGTAGTAAAAATTCACTTGGTGTTGTTTTACTTATATCTTTCCATTGTTATTTAGGACTGCAATTGATCAGTCTCTTGTTGGCATATATGAATCCTGAGCAGATTGCCTCAATATAACCTTAAGTCACAAGCTTGTTAAGCGAAGATGGATAGTGGTCATCAGTGTAGTCCAGGACGCGCGTTTCGTCCTATTCGTGACTCGTCAGCTGGATGTTCTTGCACCCCAGAGTTGTTGTTCACTCCAGGATTTGAACTCAGTACCACTCGCCTCAAACGCCATAGCATTGCCCACTTAGCTACTAAGTCCAATGTGATGCCAACAAGAGACTGATCAATTTCAGTTCTAAATAACAATGGGAATATACAAGTAGAACAACACCAAGTGAATTTAAACTTCACCCCCTTGTACAAGCAAGTGACTAACAGGACTCAATAGCTAAGTGGATAACGCGATGACGTTTGAAGTGAACGGTACTGGGTTCGAGTCCCAAACTGAACATAAACTGTGAGATGCAGATACATCCAACTGACGAGTTCAAAATAGGACGAAACGTGCATTCTGGATTTTACTACTAGCCACCGTCTATCTTTGCTTAATAAGTAGTAGTTCGATTTATTTATTTCTTTTTATAATAGTTTATTATTTACCATAACTATTTAATCAAAAAATTCAACAAAACAAGAAGACTTATTAAAGAAGATTAAAACAAATATCACTTTCATTGACAGAAATTTAAATGAACAGTTAATCGCATATTGGAAAAAAATGTAGTGACCTTAGAAAATTAGATGAATGACCTTATATTCTACTTTTTTTGTTTGTTCACTTATTCGTCTATTATTATTATGGTTATTATTATTGTTCCGTGTTCCTTTTTCTTTATCGTCATTATATCTTTTTATCTTTGAACAAAAATGTTTTCTTTTTTTAAAAAAATTTCTAGATGATTCGCTTCCTTTTATGTTGTTCACTTCTCCAATTTTAATTCGTTCAGTGAAATAGTAAAATAAAAGTGAATGAATGGAATATACGTATATATATATATATATATATATATATATATATATATATATATATATATATATATATATATATATATATATATGATAGAGAGACTGAAGTAAATACGAAAAACAAAGTGAGAACATAAAAATGGTTTAACACCTTATACTTGTAACTTTTTTTATTGTGAATTTCATTTTTCCTTATTTATTTCTATGCTCTGTTTACTTTATCATTTCGTTGTTATGTTGCAGTAAAAACGTTTAAAAAAATATTAATGAGATAGATGTTAAGAAAATCATGAACATTAAGATTTAACTATCTCGTTACAAATGATTAGAGGTGAATACAAAAATAATTATAGCAAACATCTGTGCATAGTCGGTAGAATTCTGGATTCTTCAAAGGAATCGATCGAAAGGAGTTCAAAGTAATTTAAATATTACTTAAGCATTTTGTTGAATGGCTATGATGTCATAAAAATAAATGAAATGTCAAGAGAAGAATAGCAGTAGACATATTATGTAAGATGCTGGAAAGTAGGTAGATTGGTCTATTTCGCTGTTGACAGTATTTCTGTAACCACAGATTTAATTAATTATTCACTTAATTTGATTGCGAATGATTGTTTTTGTTCAGTTAGAAATTTGTCAAGTAATATAATAGTTACAAACAATTAAAAACATTGGTAGCAAAAATATCGAAGTAAAACGTTTTCTTTGTGCTTTCAGAGGCTAATGAGCATATTGTTTCCTTATATACTAGAGAATCTTATGTATGTGTCTTTGTTATTTATGTTTTTTATGGCCTAAGATTGGAATGTTTTAGCATGGAAACACGTATGGTGTTAAAGTAGAAAACGTTTTTTGCGAAATCACTATGAATAATTACAGTGGTCAGTGGAGCAGATCACAGAGTACTGTTTTTTATCAATTATGAAATCACTTCTGACATTGAAATCAATGAGACTTCAAAAGACACTTAGATGTTACACGGCTAGCAAAAATAGTAGGAATATTCGGTTTTGGAAATAAAGAATTATGGAACATTTCAGTTCACTCTTTATTATTCAATGATTATGTGAAATATTCTATTTTCTACCAAACGTTTGTCTAAGCGCTAAGAATAAGGAAGGAGTATAAGGTGTTTAAAACATAACTTTTAGTCATATAATTTTCAAAACTAAACTTGATTAGGACATATGATTGAAAAAAGTCCCAACATGACTGAATTACCTGGCATATACAAATGACTGTCTGACCATCTACTTAAATTTGTCTCATTTTCGCTTGATCGTTGAGAAGCTGAATATGCTTGTTCTTCTAATTGTTTTGTTATTTTTTTAGCCAGAAAACAAGCTGAATTTTCTAAATTTAACAACTTTACAGACTCTAATATGAAGGGAATAAATAAATTTTTATTATTTTGTAAAGTAATTTCAGCTTTATCCAAATTAGATAATTGACAATCGGTTAATAATTTAGAAAGTTTCGGTATATTATTTGATTGTACATAAAGGTTTATTGGTTGATTAACGTTATGTAGATTTGTGTTTTGCATCATTTGAAATGAATTGATGTTAGTTATAGCAGAATCATTAGATAAAAGAAATATTTCTTCACCGTCATTTGGTAAACCCAATGGTAGAAATATCCAATCCAATTCAAACGATGCTATATCAGATTCATTTTGTGGAATTCTAAATTGTACGATCTAATAAATTACAAAATATAGATTAATAGATATTAAAATAAGTGAATGCTTTTGTTTATATTTGCTTCGCTATTACATAATGAAAATAAAAGTGGAGTAATTAAATATATAACATTATTGGATGTCAGTTTGCTAGTCAAAGCATTCGCTTCAAGAACCGAAACGTTTGCTCTCGCTTGTGAAAGCTCAACCACTAGACCACTGAGCCGACATCCAATGTTATGCATGACTCTAATTCACGATAATTTCTAACCCTCATCCAGTACCTACGGTAGATAACTGTTTCACACGCGACACGGCTGAACTTCATTAACCAAGGTTTCAATACTGAAATAATGCTAATAATGCTAAGTGTATTAAAAATGGTGTACATATTCTGTTATTTGAACTACAAACTGACAGTTTTGATGCAATTAATGAATAGGTAACATAACGAAGCGGTTGATTTTCTTTAATGGCATGAGTTTACTTACAAGTTTCTATTTTGTACAACATTTTATGATTTTATTATTATTATTATGTTTACATATATATGAGTTATTACACCAGATAAAGTTTCAAAACTTGATCATTTCTTTTCCTTACAGTTTTTACTTCTAACATGAAATTTTATTATTGTCTGGGCTAGAACAACAATAGTGATGTAATAGTGCATGACAACAGTCACTCAAGCTACGTTGATACAAGTGTATGTATAATTTGACAAGACCGTTTCGTATAATATTACGTTAACGCTATGTTTTATCATCAGTGCTGTTGATTGAAATTAATTCATTGACCTTCACAAGTGGAATGTTAGGTAATTTCGATCAAGTGCATGAAGTTTAAAGTGATAATTCGCAGGAGGTTTTAAATGATATCCGACATCGGTTGAGACAACACTGAAACTAATACACTAGATTTAGAAGACTGTTATTTTAAATTCAACCTAACTTGTGATAAAGTAACAATCACTCTGTCACGGTATCTGCGCTAAAGCAATGACATTCAATTTATATATTTTGGGAAACAATCTGATCTCATAAAAACCAGAATTGATTATTTGATAGTCACCAGTAAATGTTGTGTTACTTTAAAGGAAAACAATTACTTTTAAGGTGATACTATAATTTAAGGACGATCTTTGAGCAACGCTAAAATGACCTTGAAATGTCCACCGACTTACTAGGGTTAAACGAGGGTGATATTATAGTGTGGAAAATTAAGATTAGGATTTACAATTGAACGTTAGGGTTGGGAATTAGATTTTATGTTATCATCACCAACTGACATCAGCTATAATGCCAAAATGGTATTTAGCCAGATAAGTGAATAAATTTTAGGCCAAAATTTAAGATCTGCCATTTTTTAATTTGATTGGTTCGTCCATAAATTAAAGTTTCGCCACTCCTACTAGTAATCCAAAATATTATGAAAATTTTAATGATCTTTTATGCCTATTTTGTTTATCGCTTACCTCATATACATATAATTTCTCTGAACTAACTTCAGGATTAATTCGATTTTGTAATATTTCTGCAAGAGTCAAATTAATCTTGCTTAATGTATTTAATTCATAATTTGTTAATTTCTCTGGCCATTGAAATTTTATTCGTAATTTAGAATTGGCTACCAAAAGTTGAACTGATGGAACTTTAGACGATAAACGAAATTCAATTTCTACACTTTGAGCAAGTTTTGCATTTGTTGCATGAAAACTAATTTAAAATAAATAATATACATGTTAAATAATAAAATTAATTATTTGATTTAATATGGAAGAGTTCAGTTATGTAAATAAGAAAAAAACATACAAATCGATAATATTATATTGATTAAATTCTTCTAAAAATAAATTAACATATAAACATATGTATATATCATTGTAGTGTGTGCTACTGATATTGATAGATATAGGTAGTATGTAACACCAATCGAAAGTGGGATGCTTGGTGTCAGAAGGCTGAGAAAACCAAAGAGAAGAAAACGAGAATAGAAAGTCATTGGTGTAGAAACGAAGGTACAACATGGTCTGAGACAACCTATTGGTATATTTCAAATGCAGTATTTACTGTATGGTTCTCAGATTTTATCAACATATTCTGTAATGTTGTATTAGAGTACATTTGACTGTTCCCGATTTGTGTTGTCTTTCAATAGATCATAAGCAAACTAGAAAATTTGTGGATCTGTGATATAGCAAACAAAGAATTGAATTTTCTTAAGAAGCTTTTATTTTGAAAGTTCCAGCTTAGTGAAGATATAATTGCTGGTGTCTCAAAACGAGAGGATATTAAGTAGTATTGAATGGATTTTTCATACGTTCTATCAATGATTGTAGTTTTCTAGTTGAAAAAGTGGGATTTCTGAGAGAAATATGGAATTTTACTTTTTATAAATTTAACTATTCAAGTGGAAGTGGTATATCACGCGTAATAACAAGCAATTATTAAAAATATATTCAATTATCTAAGCACATATTTAAAATAGATTACATTATAGGAAATTAATTGACCGAAAACTTTTGCGACTTAAAAATCTTTTGATAGTTAAGATTTTGTGATAATACACCGGTGATTTATTCATCAACGTAAATTACACACATCATACAATTTATTTTGGTGAATAGGCTGACAAAATTCAAAGTCTGCTAAATCTCTTGAATCATAAGAAAATAAAGTTTGGAATTCATTTCGCTTCCTTGAAATGTGAAATACAACATCAGGATGGGTTTATGTTAGTGCTTGTTCTTATTACAAAAAATGAAATAGTCGAGTGTTCTGGTGTTATTACTCGTCATGTGAGTCTCATAATTCTTGTTGGATTGTTAGCTGACAGAGTTTCAGTACGGACATCAAGCTCACATCTGGATTGTGGAAAATTATGTTACATATGACCAAAATATGTTTGTATGTCCGTTAGCAGCCAAATATACTGCAGTGCAGTTTGTTTCTTATTACTTTGTAATAATAAAACATGGCCTAGATGAGTAGAACATATGTATACGGTGCAGGTACTTTATCACAAGTATAGTTAAAACATTAATTCAGTAACTTAGATGTTACATGTCTACTGACAATTAAAAATAACAAATCGGTCGGTGAGGAAGCTTTACTGAATCTGTTAATATGTCTGTAGCATTGTTATGTACGACCAGCTTCTCACTCGTCCAACTAATTTTGTATCTAAGCTTATGAGGGAATTTCAACATGGCTAGAAGTTAAATCATTCCTATACTAAATGATAGTTTGACCCATCCCGATAATTTGGCACTGTTTGTTATCCCTATAGTAGTTTTTTTTCCATAGTTGGAGACGTTACATGGAACTGTTCAAGATTAACTTTTGTTAAACAGTTGTATCCATCTCTTATCTCTAAATATTTATTGATTGTGATTCACTGAACACATTTTTTCATTTTTAAGTAAATTTATTATATTGTGATAATACTTAACCTCATTTGTTTATTGTCTCAATAATTCCCTAATTCAATATATTGGATTTAGGGCTCGACAACTTGGATTATAGTTAATTAGATGATTCTTCAAAATCTAGCACATAACTAAATATCAAGTGTAACAATATAAGTTTAAATATATTAGATCATAGGTCTCGTGCATCTATTTGGCAAAGGTTAGCAAGGTGGACCTGCAGTCTTGAGGGAACTGCTGCTCCCCGACGGATTCGATCCCGTGTCACCCAGATATGTTACTACTGAGCTATCCGGGCCGCGGCGTTGGCCTATGCTTCATTGTGGGTCACAGGCGTAAGGAAGTAAGTAATATAACATATTTCTAATTATGACACCTAGTATCGATTCATTTTAAATTAGTTGACATTTCTATGTTCCTACATTTTCAAAATATAGTTTTTGCTAATTTTCTATTTTCATTCTTAATAGATGTTTATTATTTTACACACTTTTACATTTAAAAAATACAAATATCACAATTAAAAAAGAAACGAAATTGTAAAACTTTATATAATTAAAATAACCTATAGTGTTACTGAATAAGAAAAAGAGACTTCAGAGAATAAAATTTTCTTTTCGACGAAATCATTTACTTAAACTGTATAGTCGTATACATATAGTATTATGGAAAATATATGTCTATAGGATAGAAAAGATTGCATCACCAAAAATGGATTCAAGAATAAATATCAGATGGGTTTTGTGGATATTATAGTAATTTCAATGGATAAGATCATGAGTCAGTTGAAGCTAGACCACCATGGAAAACCTGAAAGCACTAGACGGCCGTTTCGTTCTTTTGGGGGGTGCCCTCAGCAGGGCGCATCCGACCTCGCCTCTCACGAGATTTGAACCCAGGACCTACTGGTTTCGTGCGCGAGCACTTAACCACTAGACCACTGAGCCAGCATCCAACGGTCTTAATGTCTAATAAATGAGGTTACACACTAATCAAGGGGTAAGGAAGAAAATAATTTATCAGTTAGATAAACGTCCAATTGACAGATATGAAGAAAGGCGACAAACAAAAGGTCATAATAATAGACTAAACATTAATTTTATTGAAATCATCAATTAAAACATTTATCATTACCAAGATTTATTTAAAAAACACATAAATTACCTATCAATAAATGTTATATTTGAAATATAAATATACCCATTAAATTCTAACTAATGAATAAGATCATAATGTACTATTGAATCTAAATAACTGGTATTTTTGTTGTTGCAGATACTAATCATTACAACACTAGTAATCTTACATGTATTTCCGTCTACAAGAATAATCTTTATTATTTTCCATTAAAAATTGACATAGTTTTTTTGGTTAATACTTTTTATTATTACATAGAACAGGAACTTTATATCACATAGAAACTAATGTAAAAATCAATCGGACAAAAAGAATATTTACTTCTTAACAATTTATAAAAGTAAAGAAAGAATTTTTTATTTATTTAACCAATAACTTAATTAGTAATTTTCTTTATATTTCATGTATACAAATGATCTATTATTAATGTACATTACTGGTAACCATAGTATCTCAATATACATAAACAATTAACGATATATATATATATATATATATATATATATATATATAATCTTCTTTAACAATAATATTCTAATGAGAAGAAAAATAACAGAGAAATCATTTTTAAGTTTTCTTTTTTTAGTAAATAAACATTATTTATCAATTTTGTTATTTATTAAAGTGTATTATTTTACCTTTTCTTAATTATATAGAATAGACTTGGTTTTGTATACTGAATAGAATAGCTTTTCTTAGTTATCCATTTATTCATAAAAAAGGATTATTATTTTAAGTGAAAACAATATAAAAAGGTACAGAATACGTTTTGTTTCTGTGTTTAACCTTTAAAATTTCTAACATTCTAGTATGTATTCATTTACGTATTATCAATATAGGGGCTATGGAGATTATTAAGTTTTTGATTGAGATCATGAACTGATTGATGTTAGACCACCGTTGGAAACTTATAAGCACTGGATGGCCATTTCGTCCCATTGTGAGACTCCTCAGCACTGCTTGGAGCCCAATTTCAAATTCTTATAAAAAAATGTTTGTATAAAAATCAAATATTTTAGATATTCTCATGTGATTTTGTCAGTGTGCTAGCTCCCAGGGAAAATAAGTGAACAAGTCTAATAATATGTATTAATTTAAAAGATATCATTGATCACATTTGTGTGTCTGGTAGTTAAATACAAGAGTAAAGCTATTATCTGACATAGTATCAACGATGATTATTTATTCATTCAGTCATTGTAGTCTAAATGATAAAGAAAATTATCACAGTGGGCATGTATGAAGTTTGCAGTCATTTCAATAGTTGAATTCATGAATCGATCTAAGTAAGAACATCATTGAAAGCCTATAATCACTGGACAACCATTTAGTCCCAGTACAAAAATCCTCATTAGTGAGAATCCACAATTTCAAACGCTGAAGTCGAACTCAGGACATTCGGCCTTATGCGCAAACGCTTAACCTTGAAGAAAATCTCTTGAAGATAATATTTTTTCCTGTTACATTCGCAGTATTATAAAGCATGTTGAATAAACAAAAAATTTTTAAACTTTAAAAAAGCATGGATATTTTATCAACTTATGATGGTTTTAATATTCTATTCAATATACTACTTATTTCAATTGAACATAGTATTTCTGAAATTATTTTATAAGTTCTGCTGATTATTACTATTATAAAGTAAAAAAAAATAAAATTTGTCAGTTTCCACTTTATGTTTTTTTTCTGATGAAAGGTGTTTTTTTCTTTTTTATTTAATAGAAAATTAAAATTGTCTTCTATAGTTAACCAGAAAATTATATTTATTTAGCTTACAAGAGTGTTATAATTTGTGATATTTTCAAATTGCTTATTACGCATACTTCTCCAGTTTGTACATTCCATGAAAATGGTGAATCACCTAGGAGATATTTTAAAAATAAAAAAAAGAAATAGGTTACTTAAAACAAATAATTATCATGTCTCACAGGTTGAATTAATAGAAGTAACACATTAGATCATCAATTTCGTAATAACAGTTGTATATTTGAAAGGTATTTTTATAAATTAATCAATTTTTATTGAAATGTAGATGTTTAAGATATAAGAGATGATGGAAAGAAAAGTCAAAATTTGATTGATTTACTCATTATGAGTTTTGCTCAACGTTACTTACTTTCTGAGACAATGTGATCATTCAGTGTAGTAATTGTTTTCTTTTCTGTATAATATACGATATTCTTGTATTTAATTGACATGAACTATGCTCTATATGTGATTTGTTATAACTGAGTATTTTTTATATATGTGATTTCATTCTAATTATCAATAAAAATGGGTGTACATTCAACATATAAATGAGTGTATTTTTGACTAGAGTCGTCGTCGTCATAGTGTTTTGTTGTTAATAAATCTTCACTTATACCAGCGTTTGTGTTCTTACTTTCGCGTCGTGGGAATCGCGAAAGTCTCTTCGTTCCGAGCATAAGTGATAAACGTTTCCGACACAACAATCAACGACGACCACATATAACAAATAGCATTCAACTGACAAGTTATAACAATTGACGACGGGGATTTTAGAAAAAGTCTCCAAGTTATAGTAATAAAGAAAGATCTCTTTTGAATATCATTCGCTTAAATTGTGCGATCTTATTGATAGTTAAATCCACCTCTAGGAGTTTGTAATAATATAGTAGTGTTTTTTAGTTATATAACGAAGTAATATAAAGTAATCAAAATTTTTCAAGGATTGAATATATTAGTCTATATTGATACACTGAAATGGTCTGTCTAGAACTTTTAAGTAAATGTTTATATTTGGAATGGCAGAAAACATTTTTTACTGACATAAATCTGTAAAATAAAATCTAGTTTACCAGATGATTTGAAACAGTAGCCTTTGTAATTCACGACTTTGTACTTGGTCTCTACTGCCTTGTTATTATGTGGACGGTTTTTTACACTGTAGTTGATAGTTTTTCATATTAGTTAACTATCTAGATCTTGTGAATTCAGTTATAAATTTTAAACAAAATCATACATCTATGTTTAATCACTAACTGAAATGTGATTCCAAGAATAATTACTTACAGTTATAACAACAATGTAATAATTTCGTAGTTCTGCTAGCAATTTAATGTTATGCGCTTACAGTAAATCAATTAATTGGTTCAAAATAAATTTTGAGGTACTATCAACTTGAGTCAGATCAAATCGTGACACTATCGATCATCGTTGAACAATCGATTGAATGGGACTCGTAACTATACTCCAACTTACTTGCTTATAAGAAAGTGTTTTACAGTGTGGATAGAAGAACCTTATTGAACCACCTTCGACATTATGGTGTAGCTGAGAAAATTGTCGACATCTTCCGGAATTCATTCGACAAATTACAGTGCAAAACGGTACATACATGACAGCTGACAGACGCATTCCAAGTAAGGACCAGATTCAAACAAGGCTGTCTACTCCCCTCCTTTCTCTATCTCTTAGTGTTTGACTGGATTATGAAGACCTCGACATCTAAGGGAAATCACGGAATACAATAGACGGATTGGATGCAACTAGACAATTTGAACGTCGCAGGTAACCTAAACCTTTTATTCCATACACACGAACAAATGCAGATGAAGACAACTAGGGCAGCAGTAGCCTCTTTAGCACTAGGCCTCAACATACACAGGGGAAAAGACAGGATCCTCAAATACAACATGGAGAACACCAACCCAATCACACTTGATGAAGAAGCTCTGTAAGGTGTGTAAACTTTCACGTATCTGGGAATCATCATCGATGAATGAGGACGATCGGATGCAGACGTGACAACAAGGATTATCAAGGCAAGGGCAGCATTTCTACAGTTGAACATATGCGACCTAAAACAACTGTCAACCAATACCAAAGTGAGGAACTTTAATGCGAACGTCAAGACAGTTCTAATGTACGTATGGAGCTGAAAATCGGAGAACTACTACAGCCATCATCAAGAAGGTACAAGTATTTATAAACAGTTGTCTACACACGATACTCAATATGCGTTGACCGGATGCCATCACGAATAGCGTTCTGTGAGAGAGAACGAACCAGCTTCCCGCTGAAGAGGAAATCAGGGAAAGACGTTAGAACTTGATAGGACATAGCTTGAAGAAATCATCAACTGCATCACGAAGTAGGCGCTAACTTGGAATCCTGAAGGGAAGTGGAAAATCAAAGAACACACTGGGTCGGGAATTAAAAGTAGATTTGAAATGGATGAATAACAACTAGAAAGAACTGGAAAGGATTGCCCAGTACAGAATTTGGTGTAAGACGCTGGTGAACGACCCATGTTCTTCGACGAGGGGTAGCTGAATTAAGTAAGTATCACCTTTTGTATAAACAAAAAGTCTTTCCATTCGAAGTATTATTTCAAATTGATAAAACACATAAAATTTCCTATAAATCATAATGTTACAAAATAATGAACAGATTACTGATTATGGGAAAAAAACATTTTCAAATGTTTAATTTCAAATAAATGCAAACATACAATATTTTTTCAATAGGCAAAATGTATTTCTTACGTTATAAAACGTATAATTAGGAAGTGATTTTGCAATATCTATTTATTACTAATGATTATTTCCTTGATAGAGATTAACTTAATGATAGTAGGTTCAGTAAAATATTATTAAACCACCTTGATGTGTTATATATTTGAAAATCAATTATCAATATAAATAAATCATATATTCTGATTAATCATTTGTAAACATTTAAATATAATTATGTCAAGCAACTTTTGCAAAACATTGAAATACTCCGAACACTGTAATTTCAACATAGTGAATTCTCATTGTGAAAGAAATTAAAGCGATGCTTATTTTTCTTTTTGGTGAAAATGTGTTCATTTTCAATGAAGTTAGATTCATTAACATGTAAGGTAGAATCATACTACTATTATAAGAAACAAAATCTATACTAATAATAGGTCCAAAATAACCTAAAGTGTTAAAATGATGTCTTTCTATCATATCATTCTGTTATAGTTTATTAGAAAAAAAATACTGATATTAGTGAAAGTTTCTGTCAAAATATTCATAGAATACAACAAGATCTTTTAAACGTCCCAGTAATTTTACTATGAGTATGAAGAAAGTAACGAAGATGTTATAGACTATCAAAACTTTTACCTATGTACCTTAATGTAAAGTTAACCTTTATCTTGAGAAACTGAAGAGCTCTTTTTAAATGTAAGAGACAAATAATTGCTTTACAAATATAAGATTGATTATAAAAAAGATCAAAGCAATTCAATTAAATAAAAGATAACATAAAAATCCCTGAATGTTCTATTTAAGTTAAATATGTGAAATAGCAGCTTCATGATGTAATCTTCGATCTATGTTTTTCCTTGTTAATTATACAGCACTGAACATTCTATCATGATGGTTTGGTATAAGTTGACTGATACAATTATTTTTATCGCTGAAAACTTTTCATTATATTAAAGCAAAATTATATGAACGAAAAATATTCTTTTCAATAATTTCTCATCAGGTTCTGCAATTATAAATGGATTATTAGTTTGGATTTATAATTGTAAAACCTGATGAGAAATTATTGAACAGATATTTTATGTCGTCAATATCTCCATTTTGGCTTAGAAAAGAAAAATAGTGAATATGAATTTAAGTTAACAATTTTACTGGGTTTCAATGTTATTTAGTAAGGTGGTATTTTATTAACTGAATAAAACAGATCCATTCACTGACTAAGAAAAATAGTGGGAACACATTGAGAACATAATCAGTAATTATCCTAATAGACAATCCGAGACAACTGAAAAGCTGCATTTTTTTAAACGAAATACCTACTACGCAGAGAAATACGCAGGACCTAACCTTCACAGATTATAAGTTAATATAATAAAGATTCCCACGTAAGGAAATTTTGTAGAATTTTCGTGAAGACAGAAAAACCTGGTGGCTATAGCTTCATATCAAGTTTGAAGCAGCTAATGATCATGAGAACTGGTGTAAGCCATTTCAACTCATTCAAGCCACTATCTACAAGAACTTCGGCCTGAGCGAAATAATCTCTAAATATTGATAAAATGCCATCTAATAATACATAAGGACGATGGTTAAAGTTTTCAAAGAATAGTTCGTCTGATTGGCTGTCTCAATAACGTCCGCCAAACTACCTTGTCCTCCGTGATTAATGATGATTAGTCTGCCTGACGATTTATTTATTTTATTTTATTTGAACACATAAATATTGGTACAGGGGGGCACCAAATATATATGCGCCACACAAAACAGTGATAATTAGAAGAGAAGGAGAAAAGAGAAGAAAAAAAAAAGTAATGAACGTGGGGAATTATAAAAAAAGAAGAGAGAGAGAGAGAACAATGGTGGGGGAAACGGAAAGGTACAATCAGAACAGATCTTTCAGTTAAGGAAGAATACGACCACCTTTTTATGAAGAAAGTAAAAGAAGGTTACAGCAGGATCGCCACTGGCTTCTATTCTGAGCCATATCTGATAACGTCTCTAGCCACTGCGTTACACCATCTCTCGGACCCCAACCAGGGAGTCGTGAAGGACCAACATAAGCTAGCCCTTTGCAGCTTTCCTTCATACCACGACACCATGTCATATACTGACCACCTCTCCGCTTTTTCCAACCAGTCCCAGAGTCGGCAAATAATGCACGACGAGGAATTCTCTGGGACGACATTCGTAGAACATGTCCAAGCCACCGAAGTCGGTGTTTCAAGATGGTGACACCAATTTCATTATCGTCTCTGTGACCGAACACTCGATGCCGAACCTCTGCATTACTGACATGGTGTTGCCACTGGATGCCAGCAATCCTTCGGAGGCAACGATGATCGAACACAGAGAGTCGTCTAACATCCTCAACTCGGAGAGGCCAGGTTTCACAAGCATAGAGCAAAACTGCTCTCACCGTCGCGTTGTAGATCCGACCTTTTACAGCCAGACTAACATCACGAAGGCGCCAAAGATGGCCCAGATTGGCATAAGCCGCTCTGGCTTTCACTATACGTGCATTGATCTCATCACTCACACCACCAACAGCACTTATGCAGCTACCTAGATACACGAACTTCTCGACTACTTCTATCTGCTCACCATCCAGAGTGAGTACAGGATTAGAATCCTGCCAGTCTTGTAGAAGTACTTTGCACTTCGAAGGTGCAAAGCACATACCATACCTACGGACATTGATTGCCAACTGATTAAGTGCGGATTGCATGGCTTGGGCATTCTCGCACAGTAAGACAATATCATCCGCATACTCAAGGTCGAGAAGTCTTTCTCCAGGCAACAGATCCACACCACCATTACTTACATCCGTCAGAGCTGTTTCCAGAATGTCATCGATGGCAAAGTTGAAGAGGAATGGTGAGATTGGGCAACCCTGCCTAACTCCACTGCTTGAATGGAATAGTGGAGAAAGGTGGTTGTATGCCCTCACTCTACCTGAGGTGTTTGTATATAAGGCTTTTAGGATGTTAATAAACTTCTCAGGCACACCCCTCTTCAATAGACAATCCCAGAGAACAGTTCTGTCCAACGAATCGAAAGCAGCCTTGATATCAAGAAACACTACGATTGTTGGCCTTTGATAAGTATGGCGGTGTTCTAACACTTGGCGGAGGGTGAAGATATGATCAATACATCCTCGACCAGAACGAAACCTGACGAGTTCAAGGTTCGATCGGCACTTCAACTCATGAAGCTCCACAAAAGATCAGGCCAGGCCTATTGTTTTTTTAGAGGGCTGGGGTAAACTCTTAGTCATAAAACTGAATTACTTGGACAGGTTTGGGAAATAAAGAGTGTTTCAGCTTAATGTCATCAATGCGAAAGCTATCTGGGGATAAGTCTATTTCTAATTACATCCAAACTATTCACTTTTGTCATACGTCGCAGGTTATCTTAAACCTGTGGAAAAACGAGTTGCTGGGAACAGAATGGTCTTTATTCAACTCATGGATAATATCTTCACTCTCCTCTAAATATCAGAACAACGCAGTACTTATTGCAGACCAACAATCATTGAGTTTCCAGATATCAAAGCAGACCTCGACCTGTTGGGCAGGGCTACTTACTGGGATTATCTGTTAAAGAAAGGTGTGGCCGGGAAATTTATTAAGATCTTGAAATCTCTGTGTACAAACAAATCAGGTAAAGTACGGGTATATAAACACCTTTTCTAATTATTTTATTTCAACAATGGTATTAGATAAAGTTGACCAATTCCATCATCCCTCTCTAACTTTATCATCGATGACTTCTGGAAACATCTCTGATGAAAATTGGAAATGGTTGTGTGGAACTGTTACGTGGAGAAATGCTTTTTGATGTTGAATATGCCGATGATAAAGTCTTAAGTAGGATGATGCACAAACTAAAAATAGTGAAAGTATTTATTTGTCAAGGAATGTTCGTAGTTTTGGAATTAACTTTTCACCATATAAATAGAAAGTACTACAATAAGACTGGCGGGGACCTGCGCCGCTTTAGTCTAAGTTGTTAGAAGCAGTCAAAAGCGTCTGGGTAGTTGTTTGAGTATAAATATAGGAGTGTCCGGTGAAATTAGTCTACACATAATGAGGGCAAGAGCTGCATTTGGTAAGTTGTGCCGTCTATAGCACCTTCGTGATGCTAGTCTGTTGGGTTTACAGTGTGTCAGTGAACACAGTTCTACTTCAGGATGGTGAAGTCAGACTTTTCCTAGTTGAAAATGTTCAACGACTCTCTGTGTTTGACCATCATTGTCTCTAAAATATGGCTGACATACAGTTGAAACACCATGTTAGTAATTCTGAAGTTTGGCAATGTTTTCACATTCAGTGACGATAATTCATTTGGTGTTATCTTTTTCGGTAACAAAGACTTGCTCTACGAATCATATCCCAGGACTTTCACGTATTACCTTATTTTCTAACGCTGGGATGTGTTTGGAAAAAGAAGAAAAGTGGTCAGTTCGCACTATGGTATGAAAGGAAGCTGTATGGGACTGAGATTTGTCAATTTATCACGACTACCTGTTTGGGGTCCTAAAATAGCGCAGCACAATGACTTGAGATGTTGGCAGACACGGCTTACATTCTCTAAAAAAATGAATGATACTACTTTACCCAGGAAAAATCTTTCTCAGATGTATTGTTTATTGAACCGTATCTCCTATTATATTATATTATGTTATTAATCAATTAATAAAATGCATAAAATCTAATTAACTTTTACTTACCTTTCACTTCTAAATCTAATTTGTCAAATGAAAGAGTTTTAAGTTCTTTGAACCAATAAATAGGTATCTGGTAACACCAAAATACACCTTGAAAAGATTTTTTTTAATGTTGAAAATAAAATGTTGTGTAATCAGAAAATAGAATTCCAGTTAGGAAATAAACTTTTACAATATTGTTTAAGTTAATATTTATATAAAATAGGATGAAACATTAATTTTTGATAACTTAATTTCATCAATAACGTTAATAACAAATGACAGAATGATTACGATACGATAACTAAAAGAGAGTAAATCAAGAGTTATACAGAAGTTGTACTTTATGTTTTGTTATTGTCCTCAACTTCGAAGTGAGTTGATAAGTGCTCTTCTTCACTTTGGAATAAGCCTAATTATCTGACAAATAGAATAATAGTATTACATTAACCTACTGACGAGATGATAATCAATGTTCATTTGTCAAATTATCTGTTCTAATCACATTTCAGCCGACAATGCATACTTTGGTAAGCAACACATTACTAGGTTTGGATTTACTTAATGTAAATTAGTTTGAGATATGCCTACAACAGGAAATTAACTGATGAGTTAACCAACCATTGAGAGCCTAATGTTTCAGATTTTAATTTAAAACACATTCTTATGAAATACGGAGTGAATAGCTTGATTGTCTCACGATCTGAACGTTTGCTCAATGAGAAATACCATGCATAAAGTTTAAAAGAAAATAGATATTGACTTCCCTGTGAATGATACCCATAGATGTATTAGGAAGCTAAAAAAATATCATACAATAGTCGCTTAGTTTTGTTGATCATTAGATAAAATGTAATAAAATTGATATTTTTCTGATTCTTTTTTGTATTTATGATCTATAATGTAAACGGTAAATATTAAATATTATCAGAAAGGGATTTTGTGGAGATTTTAGTAATTTAATAGTTCCCCCGATTTCGTGGATTGGTTGAAGTTACACATTAACACCTTTGGATACCGAGTAAGTGGTCTAGAGGTTAGGCGTTCGCATACGAGACCGATAGGTTCTGAGTTTGAATACCGCGAGCGGGATCGTGGAAGTGCACTGCTGAGGAGTCCTATACTAAAACGAAACGGCCGTCAAGTACTTCCAGATTTTCCATAGTGATCTAGCTTCACTTGATTCATGAATTCAACTATTAAATATTGAATAATTTTGAATCAGCATTTTGAGTAAAATATTACATAGGCTGTATTTAGAAATAGCGGAGGTGACTTAATATAGAAAATTTTTTAGAATTGAAGTCATCAGTGAAAGATAGAAAATTAATTATGAAAAATGTGAAATTTTATTTTGAATGGGAATGTCCGTCAATCATAACTATTGTTTTCTATGTCTTACAGAATCATTTCTGCAAAGAAATACAATGAATATATACATATATATTGATTGTATATTTTATTACAATGTCAATCATTATAGGGAGGAAATATGCTTTTAGGGATGATCAATACATGATTATTTCACAATACTGAAAGAAGGTTGTTTTTCTCAGTCTTTGGATAGTTTTTATATCTTTTCTTACGGAAAACGTTTGTATCTCAATCAAAGCAGAATATATTGTGACATAATAAATTAAAATTGTTTCATTTATTTTAAACTGTTCACACATGCTGAAAGTTACGTTACCTTTTCACAAGCTAAGTTTGTGCTTTATTAAACAGTGAGATTATTGAGCTGTGTAGACAAAAAATCATTACATCTCTACAACTTTAATGGTTGAGAATGGGCTGAGAAGAAGCGATTATTTATTCCATAATCAACCTCTGACGGAATATGAAAAAGATTAAATGTTCGACATAAGATCTGACTAAACTGATTGAAACGTAAAAGTTCATTATTTTTCAAAAAATCGATCACTGTTATCTTGGATAACACTGTGGAAATCCAGGTTTCAAAAAGTATAAAAACACTGATTGTGATATCAGTGTTAACTAAGAAGGAAAAAAAAGTTGTTTAGTTGTGATATAACACTTCCTAGTAGAGTAAACACACAACTATGATTTTATTGAGTGAGGATCGTGTTATATCATAAACTGATTTGAGTTCAAAATCTACGCCATCTAAATATTCCAGTATTCTTCTTTAGAATACGTTTTGAATTCATTTTCCACAGAGTTTCAGTAAATCTTAATTTCTCGAGGTCTTCTTAATAAGAATGTGTTTCAACAAATAAATTTTTATCAACCGAGATGAAAGACTCAAGGACATTTCTATGTAATTTTCAGTCTATAAACAAACCACTGACACTATTTGTTTTCATGATAAAGTTTATGAGAAAATACTTTTAAAAAGAGCAAGAGCAAACAAATACTGACAGGATTGATACACCGCTAGAATGTTTGTTCTTGCTCTTTTCAAAATGATAAAGGGAACTATGTGTATGAAAATAGCTTTATTATAGATAATTTACCAGTGTTTAGAGATCTGGATGTTCTAATATCAACGCTATAATAAACCGTGACAAGTTATGAAAAGTTAAGTATTCAGCATCTATTGAAATGAAACAAAACTATTTTCGAGAATCTTATTGCCCTTGCTTTTTTTAATATTCGCTGGTGAATCATATGTGGAACATAATTAGTCATCCAGCGTATTTTTATTTATCGATTAGGCAACGTGACGTCCACGTGCTCGAGTGTTTTACACAATTTGAGGGGAACTTTTAAGCTAATTTAGTCTATAGTGTTTCAAAATAAAAAATGATTCTTAAGTTTATTTTTGTTCAAATGAAAATTAACGAAAAATTGTTAACTAACCTGGAGGTATACGTAAAATAAAATTCTTTCTGAAAGGCGATGGACGCTTCACAATTATCTGAAACGGTTCTAAAATGCGGAAAAATATGAAAGATGTTAAACAGGGTTTGGTTTACTAAAACATTTATTTAAAATTCTAGTTTATCATTTTAGGCTTTTTATGTTTCGGTGTATAACTCCATTGTTAAATGTTATAAGTGAATCAAACGGCTCTATTCTCAAGAAAACAGTGACACAAGAACATATAGTAAATTTTGGATAACCAAATTAAATTGACCTAGACTTGACTTATTTGATTACATTAGTTTGAAAGAAACATTTTATAAGTGTATTCTCTTAAGTTTATGCGAAAATCAATGGCTATGTAAAACTTTTCACATACGAAGAGTGATCATCTGTCAGATTACATGTTCCTATAAAGGGTTTAAAAAATTGTCTGAAACTCTTTACAATATTCATTGCAGTAATTATTGACAAGAATTGGAGATCTAGATAGATTCAGATATTCTTTGATGTTGCATTGAAATCTTAAATCAACCTCAGTTAGATCATGATTGAAAGCCTTCAAGGACTAGATGGCTGTTTCTTTCTAATAAAGGATTTCTCAGCAATACCCATCTATGACCCGACACTCAGGATGTAAACTCAGAACCTTCAGTGTCTCACACAAAAGTTTAACCTCTAGGCCAATGAGTCAGGATCTAAAAGCATCAATGCCTAGCCTCAATCAATTCACCATGTTGCACAACCATTACCTCGCGTTTTCTAATTCTTTTTGCAACATTTTTTAAACACAGTTTGTTCTTTTTTTTTTGTAACATTTCAAACCCGTTATTATTTGAACAAATTTTTATAAAATCTAAGCAAAATAATTTCTATCAGAAGGGGTTTTGTGGAGATTGAGGAGTCTCAAACCAGGACGAAACGGCTATCCAGTACTTCCAGGTTTTCCATGGTGGTCTATCTTCGATTGACTCATGATCTCAACTGTTGAAAATTATTTCTACCAGATAATGCGAATTCAGCAACTTGATAAACAATTCCTTTGAAGGAAAAACCAAATTATTTTCTACGTTCATCAATGTTAGTCAAACATAACCAATTTTTTTTAAAAACAAAGCACAAAACAAAATACATGGATATGTTAACTAATCTGCTACAATAATTTATTAATTTATCCAAATAACTAATGTATCTTCCCCTTAGATCTCTATATTTATTTAGAAAAGCGAAGCAAAACTGTCTTTTTTTATTTCTATTCTTAGGTAAACATAAAAATGTTAATAAGCCTTGGTTGGAATTTCAATACTGAAATAGTTATGAGTTTTTTTCTTGTTTTTTATTCATCGAAGCAAAAGCATTTCTATCATGCTATTTTAACTGACCCAGTTCAATCAGGTTAGTTATAAAAATGAAAATAAAAATATCACCATTGTTACGATTGACAGAATTCTCTTTACCTCTTCTTTTCTTATATGAAATTTATGGTCTATTCAGTATGATTATTTAATTATTCGCTTGAACACAACTTCATTAGTATTTTTGTTCTTGTTATGATTTATTTTAAATTGGACTATAGATTGTGAAAATTTTAAAAATAGAGTAGAGAATTGCTTAAGGTAAAAGGTGAATCAGAATAGGGTTGTGGAGACGAATTTTTATTTAGATCATAAACCGATCAATGTTGGACCATTATGACAAACCTTCAAGCACTGGAAGGCTGTTGCGTCCTGATGTGAGACTCCAAGATCCCGCAATTGAGACTTGAACCGAGAAACTTTGGTTTCCTGTGTATGCTTAACTTCTAGAGCACTGAGTCGGCATCCAACGGTGTTAATATCTGACTTCAACCAATCTTTAATTGCGGAATACGGATGCACACTTCTTGGGAGTCCTGAATAAGGACAGAACGACTGTCCAGTGCTTGAAGTTTTTTACTGGGGGTCCAAAACCGATCGGTTCATGATCTCAATAGAAGGTGGCTGCCATCTCTTCCTTATCTTATTTACTATGCTATTTCGTAGAAGTAAACGACAACTTATTTTGTAAGAATTGTCTGTACCACAAGATTAACATGAAATTATACTTCGTATTGTTGTACCGAAGTGGTATAGATGAATTATTTATGTTGAGTAAGGATTTTCGGAAATAAACGTTTAACAGTACTATTGTATTTAGCAGAACACCTTGTACTAACATTACATATTTGTTTTATTACAGCTGAAAGAAAACATTCTTGTTTTAAAAAATTCGTGAATTCTAGAAAACTTTAGATACTTTCAGTTGATGAAATGACGGTTTTGTAGTTTTTATCTCACTATTCGATAACTTATGTTTAACAGACGCTGGAAATAGAGAAATTGAAATAGATAACCAGGATTCATTACATTAATGCTTGCTATGTTATACTGCAATTTTCGTACATATATATTTGTGCATATATAATAATGTTTTAAGATAGTGTCGAAGATGTATAGCTCAGGTGGATAATTTTGGTGGTTTCGTTCTCTGAACTAGATAGTATAGTTGTGGAGTTTAGCATTGTTCTTCTAAACAATATTATCAACGTAAATTTCAAATAGAAGTAAAGTATTTGAATATCTTCACATATGACTAACAGCTTTTCCTGTACAAGATATTCCTATTTTGTAAAATCTATTGATTTATGTGTATTATTGAAAATTATCGATTTTCTTTGAAATGGAAATACACCAAAAGTGAATTTGTATTTAAAACATGTTAGTTAAATCATCAGTATTTTATAACCTTTTTTCCATGCCAAAATCCCCTAATGTAACGGAAAAACATAATTAACTAATCTTACAAACTTGCATTTCTGATTGTGACAATCAATAATTTCCGTTAACTGAAATTTAGTGTATCCATAGTTGAAAATTTTTAAATCATGAATTCAAATACATGAACATAATAAAGTATCTGGATGTTCAAGATATACATTGACTGATTTATCTCCTTTATCAAAAACCATCTGATGATATAAATTTGATTCATTTCCCTTTCATTGAATTTTGATTTTCCTCTTTGATATCAGTTTGCCAATTGGATAACATAAGCTGCTAAACATTATTATTTTCCTTCAAATTGACTTACATTTCCGTAACCTTTAAGTATTAATGTCTACCTGTTGTTGAATTTTTACTGACATTATAATCTGATTATTTCTATTTTTATTGAAATACTACTTTAAACTACAGTATGCTTTATGACTTATAGACAATCTGCTTTAATGTTAGTCACTACACTTGTTCATGTAATTGTAACTATAGAAATACCATGGTCTGTCATTCATTATAGATATGACATTTTTATTGAAAGACATCAATAATGACCTATTTCAAGAGTGTTTTGTTGAACAACTTTCGGAAGTCTGTAAAATAGGAAGTGTATATGCCGTAGATTTACATATTAACATACTTTGATTTCATAAATATATTGTTAACTCGCTCTGATTATTTTCGTATCATTTTATTCGAAACTTAAAATTTATGTTTCATCGGAAAAAAAACATTAATTCATAAAAAGTTGGATATTTCAGTATAGTCTGTCATATAGCGCATGAATAGTTTAATATGTATGTCAATTTCTTGTTTAGAAAAAAAACAATCACAAATCTCAATGATTTGTGGAGTATATGAAAAGTTTAGTACAGTTAATATAAAATTAATGATGACATTCTTTATGATTGAATGCACTTATTACATAACAATCAATGAATTAAGAATAATCTGACAATTATTCAATTTCAATTTTCATCAGTAAGTATGAAAAAAAGGGACAGTAATCATTTATTCACTTACCACAAGCTCTATTCTGATCCCTATCTGTTGCACATACAATAAATGTATGATTTCCAACATGGTCTGGTAATGGTTTAAGTCGTATAATTTGATTTTTTGTATCAAACGATACCCACTTTTTTATATCACGTGTAATCTCTTCACCGATAGCCTGATTCAAGTTTTCCATAGACTTAAGTTCAATATATGAAATATTCTCGCGATTTGATGCATACAATGTAAGTTTGAGATTTTGTGTATAACCATCTTGAAGATCATAGAATGTATTCTGTGGTATTTGGACATTAGATATTTGATATACTGTTGTTTTTATTGGTGTTATATAATTTTTAACTCTTGGTATATTCGAATGAATTAGATCAGAACTGGAATGCTCTAAAAATGAACGATAATCCATTTTTGGAAATTGTTGAAATGAAGCCATTCCTGAACCTTCTTCTAAATATCCAGCTTCACGTGAAGATACTGCAGATCGTTTATTAAGAGATCGTTTTACATTTTCTTGTTTCGTCTGCGTTACATCATCCAAAGAATTATGAATTAGATCACCAACAATCCATTCAGCCAACTAGTTAATCAAGGTATAATCATATTATGGAAGTAGTGAATAACACATTAGCATAAAAACAGATGAATAATGTTTATTAGATTAAACATAAAATATTTATTTATTAAGTGCCATAAGTTCATAAAACTTGAAGCCTGAGTTACTTAACAGATAACAAATGAATAAAAACGGACTAAAAATAAATGTCAGAAAGTAACCAAGGTTGTTTCATTTTGTTCTGTCCTAACAATAACAGATATAGTAAACATTATAGTAACTGAAAAGTATGATTAAATAGTTATCTAAAGAAATCGACTGTGTTTCTTTGCATATAAGATGAAGATTCATATTTCAAATGTACAATCTAACAAAGTAAATATCTTTGATTTTTCATTGCTTTCAGGGTTAGAGTTATAAGTAGTTGGAATATTGGTGCCTGAGTTCGATAATATCCGAATTCTTAATTATCATAAAACATTTCTTTATTAATATTTCGAGGTAATATAGTACATTTAGTCGGAAGAACACTTGAACAGATTACTGAGATTTATCTAATTGCTAAACTTTGTAATATTTCGGAAGAACTATATATACAAATATTTGATAGTGTTGTTTGAAATATTATTGTCCAAAATCAACTCATTCTGATAATCATCATGTGCATTCTAGTGACTAGCTTCAAGATGGAACTCCCGGAGTTCTATTGTAAAGCAGTAGCCAGTGGAGTCTAATCTTTTCAGATGGAGAGTTATCTACCTCAGGCAATGGACGTAGAGTTTCGCAAGATTATGGATCGACTGAACTTAGAAATTAACTCCGTTATGTGCGGGCTCAGTGGTCTAGAGGTTAGGCGTTTGCACGCAAAACCTAAGGTCGCAGATTCGACTATCAGGTGCGAGATTGTATTTAAAATATCATTTAGTTTCTACTTTTATTTTACAAATTGAAATTTATGTTATTTTTATAGTGAAAAAAATTACTGGACTTCATATATTTCAATGATGTATTATGAATTAAACCGGAATTAAAGCAAACATAGAACATTCTACTCATTAAAACAAAAGCTTAGTTAAGAAAATTTCAGAACGTTATCCAAGAAACGGTGCAAGGAGTTAGTGCAAAATCTTACTGAACATGACAAGATGATTAATGTAACTTTACTACATAGTTGCATGCTTTTGATGAATCACTGACTTAATGTAATTTTGAATAGGTTTGAGGGATGTTTCAGGGTTATCTTCAGATTAAACTAGTCAATTAGTTATAGACAACATAGTATTTAGCAGACAACTGGATTGGCTGACACATGTAAGTCAGTATCAGCACAACGGTATGGGATTTCAAATGACAAGAAATAGAATCACTGTCAAAATAGAATATAATCGATTACAATAAACATATGAAACATACTTCGAAAATAATAAATTCAGTTGAAAAATAGGAAATTTGAAGTGTAAGATTTGAAACATTTGCACCACTGCTACTACTTTTGAAACGGTCAGCTGATGTCCATAACCAAATACTGCAAACTCCAACCAAATTGCCTTAACATTTAACAACAGCTCACTTAATGAATCAACGACTTTACAGACAGATCCTCCTTATCTCTCAACCTACTTTTATTTTAGTCATTATAGGACATCAGAAGAGGGACAAATGAAGAATCGTGGCACTTGAACTAACAATAATTTACAGGTATATAGGATACTATGTATATTATAGGTATTATGTAAACACATTTTAAAAATATGAAACCAGTTGAATCTGTAGGGGCTGGTATCTATGTCAAGCCCATATAGAATATTTAGTCTCTGGACAGATCAATCTATTCATTCTTCTTAAGCTACATATTTTATCCTTGACTTTTATGTAAGTGCGTGTGCGTGCATTTCTTTTCATACTCATCACATGTCTGTAACTTATTTTTGCCTGACTATAAATATCGATTCACTCTTGGCTAAATCGAGTTGGCTCACATGCCCTCTCCAATCTGTTTCGTATCGCTCTCCTATTCTCTTCGTTTCTCTGGTTGTCTAAATCAACGATTGTATGAAATATACGTTCTCGAGATCCATTCTCGTATTTGACTTATTTAATTCCGTTATTCACCAACTCTATATAAGTCAATGATTATATACATGGATTAGTGAAATGTATATTTCGATAATAATCAGTAAACAATCTACCTACTTGGAACCATTTTACAATACCATTTAATTATTTAATCGAAACTGAGCATTTCAAAGATGTTAGATAAATTACATTCATGTAAAAACTTGTTTCATTCTGGATAATTTTAGAATTCCGTCTTATACTACTCATATAAAATAACACAATTTATCTAATTCAAATTTAGAACAAAAAGACATTGAATAAATGAATTGATAAATTTAAAGTTTATCTATGTTTATTCTTTTATTTTGACTAATTACTAAGTAATGACAATCGTTTGGAAAGCTTGACATTGATAACTAATACTATTCTGATTGTTTAATTAAACTACACCATGTAGTGTTATCCATTAATTTATCAACATTCAGTAAGTGTATGACGTTCATTATGTTTTGGGCATTTTTCCGTTCATTTGAGGAAGAATGGTTAAGTACTGAATATAAAAATTTTATTTACACTGAATATTTCATTTCAAACATAGGAAGCTAACAACACCTGACCTCTATAAACACTTAAGTGTAGTAAATCCTAATATACCTGTTGAATGTTATAAAAGTTAGGATCTCAAACAAAATCTCCATTGAATATTACGCTATTATACTTTGGATTGACCTATTAAAAGAATGAAAGAACATGAGAATTTGTGGAACATTCCATATTTGTTGAATATCACAAAAGGCGGCCTGCCTGAATATCTGGGCTACCTGTTTCTGCCATCTAATTATTTCAACAAGTTTTTTTCATTTTGTTTTAACGTCTCATTATGTCCATTAATCGCATAACCTATACAGGCTCGTTTATGAAAAGCCTACGACCTTTCGCTGCACAAATTACAAAAAACTATAATAAAAGACATCGTGGTGGTTAGCAGTATGCGTTGAAGAGAGTGAACATTAATCGTATGTCGATTCCCGAGTTGCTAAATTCTAACTGCCGATCACTAATTAACAAGATTGACTGTCTTCAGTTCCTACTAAGTCAAAATATGTATCGTAATTGTGGTGTCATCACAATTCAAGAATCTTGGTTAAATGATTTACAGGACGACTGCCTAGTATCCCTACTTGATTTCAAAATCTATCTTCAGGATTGATCAAACAATAAAATGAGGTGTGGCGGCGGTGTAGCTACTTTTGTAAACGTGAACTGGTGTCGATCTACGTTTGCGTGTTTCAAGTTTTCAAATGACTTTATCGACTGTCTAACTCTAAGATGCCGTCCAAAACATCTGAATAAATACACAACAACAAATGCAGGAGAAGACAACCAGTGTAGCTGCAGCCTCAGCAGCAATAGGTCTCAATATACACAAAGGGAAAAGCAAGATTCTTCGATACAACACAACATGTACCAATCCGATCACAATTGACGGAGAAGCTTTGGAAGATGTAAAAACCTTTACATATTTGGGCAGTATCATCGATGAACACAGTGGATCTGATGCAGATGTGAAGGCACGGATTGGCAAAGCAAGAGCAGCATATCTACAACTGAAGAATATCTGAAACTCAAAACAATTGGCAACCAACACCAAAGTCAGAATTTTCAATACAAATGTGAAGACAGTTCTACTGTATGGCGCGGAAACCTGGAAAACTACGAAATCCATCGTCCAAAAGATACAGGTGTTTATTAACAGTTGTCTACGCAAAATACTTCAGATCCGCTGGCCGGACACTATAAGCAACAACCTACTGTGGGAGAGAACAAATCAGATCCCAGTGGAGGAAGAAATCAGGAAGAAGCGCTGGAAGTGGATAGGACACACATTGAGGAAAACACCCAACTGCGTCACAAGACAAGCCCTCATATGGAATCCTCAAGGTCGAAGGAGGAGAGGAAGACCAAAGAATACATTACGCCGGGAAATGGAGATAGATATGAGAAAAATGAACAAGAATTGGATGGAACTAGAAAAGAAGGCCCAGGACAGAGTGGGTTGGAGAATGCTGGTCGGCGGCCTATGCTCCATTGGGAGTAACAGGCGTAAGTAAGTAAGTAAGTAATGTTTATGTTGCCGATATTTATGTGATCCCAGACTGCACATCATCTGTGCTATGTTTTCGTTGATGAATTCACTGAGTTCGCTGTTACTGCCTTTAGTGATTCACTTTCAGTTGTATGTGGTGATTTCAATTCATGTGACTAAAGCTTCCTTACATCACTAGGTCACCGAAATGTAGTAGATTTTCCTACTTGGTTGGATGCTCATTTACACTTCGTTTTCATTAATGAGGTGGGTATATAGGTGACTCGTAAACGTGCTTCATTGTCTAGCTCGGATTACTGTATAATTCATGTTCTACCTAAAGTATATGGATAGCATGGGAAGAGTACACTGTTAAATCAAAACAAGAAAGTCAAATATAGGAATTACTCAGAAGAAAGTATCCACAATCTGAAAGACATGTTTCATACGACTAAATGGGAATTATTTACAGATGACTCACTGGAAATCACTTCTGATGTGATCACTTGTTACCTTAAATTCTGTTTTGATATTTGTTGTCCCACTGAAACTATTTTTGTAAGTTTTGATCGACTTACATCTTCACAACTAAAACGACTAAGGAGGGTGAAAGAAAGGATGTACAAGGATAGAAACTCTGGTGAAGTTCGTAAGCTAAATAGTCTGGTAAACCTCGAGATTAGTCGTCTCAGCACTATGTTTGCTCAAAAACCTTTGTCTTGTAAAAACTCTTCAAGTATGTGGAAACTCTTTGAAGAACTTACAGGTGACAGACAGATTAGGAGCGATAACTAGCTGAATGTTTGTGACTTAAATAAGTCTTTTGTGTGTCAGTCATCTAATGTAATGCTCCTTTATCCACGGCTTTAAAGAATAGCTGTGTTCCTAGTTTCACAGAAAGTGATGTCCGAAGATGTCTCCAGTCACTAAATTCATCCCGATCTTTAGGACCTGATGGTATCCCAAATCTTCTTTTTAAAAAGTGTGCTGACTTCCAACGTTATCCATTCATTACTATCTTTAACAGATCGTTCTCTTTTAATCTCATACCGAATGTGAAATTTAGACCCATTGCAATAACTTAACCCTTCCTCAAAACAATGGAAAAATTATTGACAATTTCACTTCAGCCTTCTATTAAAGAGCACATTGACCCATATCAGTTTGCTTACAGATGCAAAAGAATCACCTTAGATGTTGTTGCTGTTCTGCATTACAATTTAGTGTTTAACTTAAAAAAAGGTAAGAAGTATGTTCGATGCGCTTTCCTGGACTATACTTCAGCTTTTGATTCGATACCAAGACAACGTTTACTTAACAAGTTAATCGGTGTCAACACTGAGAGCTGGATAACCAACTGGCTATGTTCCTACCTCTCTGGAAGGGAACAGTGCACAGTGTTTGGAGGACAGTGTTCAGAGTCCCTAGTGTTTTATGAAGGTGTACCACAAGGAGCTGTTCTTTCACCCTTTCTTTTCTCTTTTTCTGCATGATCTGCCATCTTCCACAGTAAACACTTTTGTGAAATATGCCGATGATCTCACTGTTTGTGTGCCTATCTCTTCCTCTTTACATCCTATAGAAATGAATGAGTTTTTATTTCGTATTCATAGTTGGTCTGTTGTTAATGGTCTCATACTTAATCCGTCTGAATGTCAAGCTGTTAACTTTAGCATGAGACATGATCGGAATTTAAACACCATTTTGAGATTCCATGATGCTTGTGTTATTTTACCAGATACTAACCATCCCCTTCACTCATATCTTTCTCCTTGTATATCTTCTGGTAGAACTGTAGTGAACAGAACACTGGTGAGGACAACCAAATTGTAATTAGCCCGAATTACAGAGTTAATTGGTAAAATAGAAAAACCGTAAATTAAATCGTTTATTTGCAAAATATTAATCTTTCATATTAAACTGAACTGTTCCTGTTGCAAATATCAATCAATTGACTGACATTTCATTGTTCGTAATTTTTCATACAAATCCGATTGTGTTGCCGCTCTTCCTTTCTTGGTTTTTCCCCATCTTCTGCTGCCCGACATTACGTTTAAAACTTGTGTTATATACTACTTATTATATCAATATAAGTAGCGCGCACCACAGAATGAGACGAAATTACATTAAAATCCAAACACGCGAGCAGAAGTATAAAAGTTCTATAATACCTTACCTAGTAAATATACTCTGTGACGAACAAGTTGTTAGAGTTAACCTAGTCAATAACCTGCATTCTTAACATGTATCTCATTTGTAAAGTTGTACAGTTTTTGCGATTTTTTTATTAACCTTTTTTGTCTTTGTTTCTGTTTTTTTTGTAAAAGAAACGTGTTGAAATATTTTGTGCTGAAAATTTTATATTATATCAAAATATAATATTGAATAAAGTTATAAAATAAAAAAAATCATGTTCGTTCCTAGATCTATGACTACGTTTTTTTCCACTTAAATGAATGTCAATTATATGACAGATAAATTGTATCATTGTAAACAAACTAGTCAATTAATACATGACCTAGATTAATTATTTAATTTTATAATGAAAATAATCAATTAAATAATTTAATGAATACAATTAATGAAAATGAATTGTGTCTATTTATTTTTCTGATACGATCATTTCATTTTCAATCTGATATCTATCGATTTGACAAATTCATTCAACAGAATAGATCTATGATTGTTTGATTAATAATAATAATAATAACTGAATTTATGACCTTATTATTACATTGACAGATGATCAGTAGAAAACATGATTTCGGTTAATGAATAAATAAAGATAAAAACAGGAAATATAATTTAAGCCATTTCGATTTTATCCTACCTACTATTATATTAACTACTAGATATTGTTTAGATGATATATGTATTCTGTCAAGGATCGTTCATTTATTTAAACACATATACATTGATACAAGGAGGCACAGAATATATATACACCACATAAATCTTCCGATTTGTGTGACGGCTGGGATATTGCCCGGGTGCCCGAACCGAAGCTGATGGTGTTTTTAAGGGGCCACATTCGGAGCCTTTGACCTAAAGTCTGATCCATATGGCAATGGAACAGCAACAGGAGATGCAGTCATACGGTAGCCGGTGACCAATAATTGGTTCATACGCCATTTGTTCCTTTAGGATACTGGAGCCTATATGCATCATTGGTTAGGAATCAGGATTGTCCAACTCTTCTATGTGGACTCTCCGTGTCCACCAACCCGGTTAAAGCGCCGGATATTCGCTTTACGTCCTCTCAATTCCGTAAACAACGCCCCCGTCACGAGAAGGCAGTGTGTAGGACTTCCCTCACAGTGGTTGTGTGCACGTGACCATGTGAGAGCATTTCGAGAGGTAGAGTTGACTCTCCCAACTCTCGGCCGTACCAGGGTATTTGAGAGCTCAAGGATTATTAAAAAATGAGTATAATGAAAATAAGAATTTTGTCTATACAAAAATGGTCGAAATGAGAGCAAATGATATTTATTGAATCTGAAAGGAATTATGAAAACTTAGTTAGTTAAGGTAATAGATGTACAAACGTATTCCGAAATACTGATGTAAATAACAAGGCTCATAGTAATAAAGCACGGACAAAAAGCAGTTGAGAAGCAACTTTCAGAGTTATAGTAAGAAGACGTGATCATTGGAGTTCGATTTTGTCAGATATAAGACATCTATTCACCACAGGAAAGTGATGAGGGTTGAGTAATGGTGAGAGCTGAATGTATTTAGGCGTTAACATTATTAGATGCCGGCTTATTTGAAGAGAGTTCAAGGGTTCGTGGGCAAGACCGAATGTTCTAGGTTCAGTGTCTGGGTGTAGTATTGCAAATCAGCCCTGCTTTGTAGTTTCATACTAGTACGAGACGATCTTCCGGTGTTTCTAGGATTTCTTTTAATTCCGTTTAAGCTCATTTATTCCTCTTTAAAGTCGAACGCCACTTATGGATCAACATACCATGAAATAGTTAAAAATATTCCCTGATCAGTTACAATTTAGGTAGGAAATCCGAAACTTGATATTAATTGTTTTGAAGAAAAACAGTGCAATACCACTGAATTTCAAACTGATTTCGTGAGTATTCTGTTTGCAAATAAATCAATTTAATGAATCCAATAGTTATTTAACATTGTGATAGGACAGAAATGACACAGATGTTACTGGATATTTAAACACAAAACAAGTTGATATTATTCGATCCATTAAAACAGGACAAATTACAAAGTTGTGCTTAATATTTTTTTCAGTATATCACTTGTGATTTATGATAGGATAGCATACTGGCATGAAGAGCTTTTCTATGACATGACTTTTCTTATCTGTATATAAGTTTTAATTAGAAATTTATTATAGATAATTGTGCTAACAACTGGAACCAAAATATTTTTACACGATCAATACGATTGTAATCGATCAACTATCTATTCAATTATTGATGAAAAATTCACTACTTCGGACAGATAAGACATATTTTGTTAAAATGTCGAAATCATTTAATGACTGTAAATGTATAAATATCTGAAAATTGTTTTAATAATTTGCAAAATGTAATTCAATAATACTTCTTACCGTGATATTTTTAAACTTCTCAAAACGAGTAAAATTAGTATTATCTAATAGTGTCCAAATTGGTATCAATCCCATTTGAAATTTCTTCTCTATTACAGTTAACATTTTCAATATATAATCAGGTATAATACCGCATCCAATATGTTGTATACTGATTAATTGTGAAAAATTTGATTTAGAATTTCTGATATAATTATGAGCTTTAGCGCTAGCCAATATGGATAGTTTCCTAATAAGTGAAAAAAAGATGAAATACACGAAATAAGTATAATAAATAATGAATTCATTTTAAATGCTTGACTTAAGGTATTATACATATCCGTGAATTGGTAATTCATACGTTTTTAGTGTATAATATTTGTATAATATTATGCAATTTTGAACATCTTTTGTGTGTCAGATAAGTGAATAATGAATATTAAAGTTTAGTTTTTAATTCACTTTTTTTGATCGGTCAAGTTGGTTGAGATACAGTGGCATGTTCACAGAAGATACATATAGCTTTAATTGACTAAAAATTAAATCTCTAGTGATTTTTATGTTCTTGTATACTGCACTCACCTACTAAATGAATGAAGAATTGTTCAGAAGTACTTGATGCTGCACACTTATCGATTAATGAAAAACGATTGTGATCCATTTACATTAGTTTCAAGGGGCTATGTTTTTTTCAAAACATGTTTGGTATTGACAACCATTTGATAGTTCGAAAACATTGTCATTCAGTTAATTCATAATTTATAAAATACTTTGTCAACAAATGCAAATTAACCTAGAAAAATAATTTCATCATGTCATGAGTTCAGTAACAATGTTTAGGTTATAAAATTGTACTTGACATACTTCGTTTTACTTATCTGTTGTTAATTAACAGTGAAAATCCAACTTGAAATGACATTGATTTAGATAAAAAATTCCATAGATTCTTCAGATTTCGTCTGATTAGTTATTTTAAACAACGTATATAGAATTTGGCTTGATAAACCGTTTTCTTATCATTAGTGAACTTGTTAGAAACGATCAAAGTATTAGCGATTGTATGAAAAATACTTATTTTACAGAAAAGTGATGGGATTAAAACATTTTATTTTGTCAGTTTTCTAAGTCTGGTTGATGTGAATAAATTGAACTTACCTAGTAGTGCGCAGAATATTATAGAGATTTAAGTCATGTCAACTACAAAGATGGATAGTGTCTAGCGGTGAAATCTAGGACGGTTTCGTCCTATTTCGAACTCGTCAGTTGGATGTACCTGGATCTCAGAGTTGATATTCACTCTGGGACTATAAACCAGTACCGTTCGCTTCAACCGCTATCACATTAACCACTTAACTACTAAGTCCCTATAACCACCTACTTGCGCTTGTAAATTAAGATAATATCAAGACAGTCGGCACACGATGCACATATCCCGATAAAAGACTGATCAATTTCAGTCCTAAATAACAATTGGAAGATACAAGTAAACAACATCTAGTGAATTTTATGTCAGCTACATTTTATAAACAATTTTTATACAAATAAAACGTAAAGTATTTTATCATTCTTGTGAAATTCTCCTATTAACTGTACTTTACATAAAAGTAAACTAGTTTTGAACAGAAAAAAAAACACAAATGAAAATTGTTTATTGATATGACACAAATATACAATATTATATTAAATATGTATGTTGTTCGTCAATAGTTTAACTATTATTTTTCATTATATTGATGTGTCAGAATGAAATTGTTTAATGATGATAAACATCACTTTCCTACATTATAAAAACAGTTATTCTTATATTAATTAATGTAATAGTACTATATTTATTCAGTAATATATCTTATTTTTATGTGTAAAATTAGTTTAATATTGTACAAAATGATCAGTATTTTCAGTGATAATTATAAATGTAATTAATTCTTGAAAAGTATATGAATATATTTATTTAAGTTTGTTTTGTCTCTAGATTACATTATTCATTACTAAATAAGACCAGTTAGTAACACAGATTATACTATGACAGTTTTGATTTAAATTTTTATTTATTTCTTTATTTATGGAGTTCTAGAGAAAATAATATATATTTGTTTATAATTTATTCAGCTCTTCAAAATATACTATCCTATATACTGGACATGAACATTTTAATGAATGAATTGTCAACCGAAATTGAGCATTTGGCATTGTTTCAATTATTATTTGATTAAAAGATTTGTTTGTTTGTTTGCTTTTATAAAATTGGATACATTGAAATTTTTTCTAATAGTAGAATTGATTTAATTGTTTACTTTACACTAAAAATGAAAACAAATTGTTTACTTTTATAATCAATGTACCTAATTGGTGCTGTAAAAACTAAGTAATAATGTACCATAAATTTACAGAAATAAATTTATGGGTATTAATTTTATTAAGCAGAATTATGATAATCTTTCTAATTTTATGCTGATAACATTGAGTATTGAAATCAATATCTTAATTACTTGATTATATAATCTTGAACAAAAATTGTCGATATTGTTTGTAATATCATTTTGTATAACAGCTTGTCTGACAAATTCACATTTACATTTACACGGATAGAGAAGGCTCGTCTAGCTCTTGCCAACTTGCGTCATTTATGGCATAGGAGAGATATCCATCTACCAACCAAAGGATTGGTTTACTGCGCAGCAGTTTGTTTCGTTCTACTTTACGGCACTGAAATATGGCCGTTAAGAGGTTACTGTTATTCGATCACAGGTGTCTTTGAAACATTGCTCGTGTATACTGAGACCACCGAGTAAGTAATGCAGTTGTTAGGAAACGGGTAATAGGTAAGGATGGCAAATCAATTGATGAAGTAGTGGAACTTCATCAGTTGAGATGGCTGAGATATGTGTTACGTAGGTTGGAAGAAAGCTAGGGGTGGCCAGAGCAAAACATGGCACAAATCCATGAAGTCACTGGCAGGTGGACTGTTAGGTGTAAACTACTTGATTGTGATCTGCGAGACGGTAGCAACCGATGGTTAGAGACCTTGAATGACATGGCTCAAAATCGTTTGCAATGGCACAGGTGCAGCCACTCTTTGTGTTTGATATGATGGGAAAAGTCAATTTTGGATTGTTTTATTCGATATGGGTTTTATTCATCATTACATCTGTTTTGATTCAATGTAAAGATTACGCAATGTAGTATTTGCTTTCTCTTCTCACATGATATTTTATCCTGTACAATATACGCTATTCTTGTATTCCATTGATCTGAACTATGTTCAGTAAGTGATTTGTTATAACTGAGTATTTTTCATATATTTGATTTTCATCCTAGTTACTAATCAACATGGTTGTTCAATGAATATATAAATGAGTGTATTTTCTACTAGAATGATCATCATCATCGTAGTCGTCGTCATAGTGTTTTGGGGCTAATAAATATTTACTTATGCCAGTCTTGTGTTATTACTTTCGCGTCGTGGGAACTGCAGAGGTCCCTCGTTCCAAGTATAAGTGGTCAGCATTTTTTCCGCCACAGCAATCAGCGACGACCAGACATAACAGTGTTCTCCAAAATTTTTCCAAATTCATTCAAATGTATTATACTCCTTGAATAACATCTTCAAACGCTGATCTTTCTGATTACTGGTTATACTTTTATACCTCTACCCTTACGGGACTTGAATCGACAACTGCATCTCTGTGCTAATGTGGTGTGGCAACTCAAACTGATGCACGTACGTACGAAGTTCTACGTCGTTACTGACCGGCTGACATTAAGAATTGTTTACAAATATCGGCGAGACTATAATTTATGAACGAACCAATCAGATTTAGGGTAACAGGTCTTTGATTTTGGGACGAAATTCATTCATCCATTTGGCTAAATAGCCTTTTGGCATTTTAGTTGATGTCATTTTGTGATGAAAATCCCTAATCTAATTCCTAAACCTAACCATCAACTGCAAAATCCTAATTCGAATTCCTCATACTGGTTTATAACCTTCATTTAGTCATACTTACTAGACGGAAATTCTGAAAGTTACTTTAGCGTCACTTAAAGGTCGTTTTTAAATTCTAGTTACACCAATGTAAACTTCTATATTAGCATAAAGTAACGATCAGTGGATGTGAACCGAATTATGTATTATGAAAATGAATTACTTATAATATCTAAATAAATTTGATTTAATAATTTTTTTTATAAATTAATTTATTGTCGAGTGTTGCTTAAGGCTAATTTAGTGGCCACATATATATCTAATTACTTTTTAGTAGAGTTCACTTATTTTGTTGTGTTAACAAAACAAAATTAAACAATCGATAGTTCAAATGGATATTTATAACTCTATAATGCCTAATCACAATCATTTTACGATCACAATGAGACACCTGTAGTATGAATGCACAAACTGTTTTTTTTTTCAATATTCAATCTCAATATACGCATATCGTAAAAAGAAAAATTTACCTTTTTGGACAATATTTAAATGATTTTAGATAAATTGTAACTGCGTACTTTCACTTGATACTCATTGTTTCTGTTACTTTTCTAAACCCTTGAAGAAGAGTAATTATCAACTGATATCATCAATACATTTGATTATAATCTGTTATTAAGTTGAACGTCTTAAATCTATTTAAAATTTATGTCAACTTCACAGACTACTTGTTTCGTTTCGGAACGTTTATATCCTATAACTTAATGTATAACTACCGCTTTGAATGTATAGTTAATTCTTATGAAAATTTTTTTTATTATTATTAATATTGTCCAGTTGAATAGTATAAATCAAACGATGAGCACAGAAAATGTTAAAAGTTAGACTAATGGATAATGGGAAACCTTTCTTTCTTCTCTCTTACCTTTCATATCATAAACTTCCATGTGAATTTCTTATTTTCCACACAGCTGTTAGACAAACTAATCGATTTACTTAAATATTAATCATAACAATATTAATAATAGTAATAATAAATGGAAAGAATTATTTTAGCCGACACCTAATATTTTTTTTATGATATATTGTAACTGTTACAGCTTATTAAAAGTAGTATTAGTAGTATTAGTATTACTGGTAACTTAGTATGGTGATATTCATAAGTAACTGTTATGATTTATATGTATTTTAATATCAGAGGAAAGAAACATTTATCAATATTCATTATTCATATAGAACTGAGCATAAAAATGATACAATATAGAATATGACTAAATTATAGTGAAATTTATGTTGATTAGTAGTTTAATATTTAAAACAAATTG